CCTCCCTCCCTCTTCTCGCCCGCCTGCCTGCCTTCTTGGCCCCTTTTCCTTCCTGCCGCGCTTCCTCCCGCCCTTCTCCTCCCTTCCTTCCTGCGTCCTTCCTTGCACAGAGGCCCGCCTGACACCGCGGTGTCTGAATTCAGCATTCTAACCTGCATTTCATCATGCACGTCTTTCCTGCACATCTCTCTAGCTTTCTCAGCCATGTTATATTTTATTTATTTAGTAGATTTATATCCCACCTGTTCTCTTTTTTAAAGAACTCAATGCGGCTTACAGCTTACTGCTCGCAGTCTTATTTCCACAACAGCCCTGTGAGGGAGGTTGGGCTGAGAGTCTGTGACTGGCCCAAAGTCACCCAGTGGGCTCCATGGCTGAGCGAGGACTCGAACCCAGATCGCCCGAGATCGCCCGAGTCCCGGTCCCATGCTCTTAACCACGACACCACACTGGCTCTCACTTGGCTCCATTGTGAAATTGGTATTAGAACCCGGATCACCTGAGTCCCAAATCTGTGCTCTTCATCACCACACCGCACCGGCTCTCAGTGTTATATGAAATTATAGAGACCCGTAGGGCAAAATTTACAGATATCTTCAGCCATTATGCTGTTGGAGCAGCACAGGGCAAATGATTAATACCCATTTGCTCCGGCCAAGTTTGCAGTGTTATTTTATGTCATATGATGGAGCCTTTATATCTGCTCTGTTACCATTGCCAAGTTTTTTTTAATTGCTACTCTTTTTAGCAGTTTAAATAGTTGAAAAATTTTTATATTGAAATGTTAGTGGAATATTTTATTTGTCATTTGTAATTTTATGAACTGTTGCACAGCACACACAGTTTCAGCCATTGGGCTCTATAGGAATATAATTAATAAAAACAATGCTGAAGCATTGGTAAGCCGTTCTCCATGATGAACCAATTCCGCAGGAATTAATTTGCATCTCTGTATTTCCTTTGGTTTTGTACTTTTACAACCAAACACTAGATTATAACATCTTAAAATATATGCAAGTGTTTATATGATACCTTTTTTCTTTTATGCTCCTCTAACCAGTCTGTTTAGTCTCACAACAGACCTGTGAGGTAGGACAGACTGATAGTTGGTGTGTGGCTGCCCCATGCTCTAACCACTGCACCACTCTGCCTCTCCATGTCTTATAAGAGATGTATGTCGCCTCAGTCAGCTTTCCAGAATCCCTCCAAACATTTAGGGAGGAATGTCATTTCTGAAGGCAGATTCTCCCGTGGTCTGTTCTCTTCTCGAAGCTACTGGAATGCCTTATCTCTCGCAGCTGCTGCCGGAATTCTCCTTGGACTCTGGAGGGAAACCAGTTGTTCCTGGGTTTCAAATGTCTCACACTTCCTTAAATAGAAAGGGAAGGGGTCTGTGCATTTCGGCCAGGTGGTCCAGCCAGGGTGGCTACTGGCCTTTGTGCACTTACAAGCCCACCAGTTCTCCCTACCCCAGAGGAGAGCGCATTCTGCAACGCGCATTTCAGTGAATTATTTGGGTGCGCCATTTCCACCGGGTTTAAAGCCATGTGGCCCTCCTGGAAGTCGGGCGGCCCCCCCTCAGGCCTCGTTCCTGGTGCAGTGGTCCTTGGCGCATGGCGGTTTCATTGAGCTATAAATATCTCTGTCTAAAGTCCCGGCAGGCATCCGTGTCAGCACACCCCCCGGGAGAGACGAGTGGCCACCGTCGACCGATCTGGGGAACGCGCCACCCCGGCGAACATCTCGAGGCTTCGGAAACTGCAGAAGGTACCAAAAGATCTTGGAGGGGGGCACGGGCAGGTTTCGCCACAGACCCCGGCTTGCCTTGGCACCGCCCCCTATTCTGCCTTCTGCTTGCATGCGGAACGGGGTTGCCGAGGATGGAGCCCAGCGGGAGGGCCCTGGGCAGGGGACCCTCCCTGCTCCTCGTCGCGGCGACAGGCGACCACGACAGGTCCCGGAGGCACATACGGCTGCCCCAGTGCGGTCAGCCGAGGGGCGGATGCGACACCAGCGGTGCCCACTGCGCACCCACCTAAAAGACAGGCATGCTTCTGTGGCACATGCTTTCGCGCACTAGGGTTGGCGCCTTCTTCAGATCTGAGAAGCTGTCCAGATACAGTTAGGGAGACTATACACTTGAAGGAGGTAGATAAGATCTTGGGAGGGTCTGTGAGCGAGGAGCCTGCTGAGCTCCCCCTTCCTGCGTGACCCCGCCATGGTCCCCGGCTGCCTGTGCCCCTCATCGTCCTTCTCCTTGTGGCCACCCGTGCCGGCTGGGTAGGCAGAGGGCCGGCATGGAAGCTGGAGGTGGCCACCGCCACTGCCTGGCCAGAACGGGAGGCAGGCGAGCAGGGAGGCTGCGCTGGGGAAGAGGAGTCGGCCCCTGTGAGCGGTCCTCTCCTCTTTCCAGCCCTGCCGACTTTGGCTGCGCCCCCTCTCGCAGCCTTCATGTGGCCCGTGGCCGCGTCAGCACGAGGGCGGGGTGGCCTTCGGTTTTCCAGGCGAATGGGGCGAAGGCCTGGGACCCGCTTCTGCCCTCTGGCAGCCCCCGGAGGCGCTGCACTGCACCTCCCGGCCTCCCCAGCCGGCAGGGCCCGGAACGTGGCGAAGCCCCACGACCAAGCCTGGGTGCTCCTGAGCAGTGCCGGCTGCAGGGTTGGGAGGGTCCCGGCACGTGGCGCCTCCCTCCCTGAGTCCTCCTCCTCACCACAGTTCCCCCAGTTGCTTCCCTCCTCATCCTCTTCCTCAGCATGGCTGTCGCTCGCTCGGCAGGCAAACCCCAGTGTGTAAGCGGGCCACAGCCGCTTCTGCTCCCCCGCACACACACACACTGCCAGGCAAGATGCGGCTGAGTGTGCGGCTGTGGCGGGGAAAACGCGACGCACGGCGGGGACTCGTGCCAGTGGCCCCGGCTGGGGCGTGGACCCTTGGCAGGGGCCCAGACATGCCACGCTTGATGCCAGCTGTGGCAAAAGCCAGTCCGGGGAGAGACGACAGTGTGCGTCTCCCAAGGCAGCCTTCAGCGACGTGCCGGCATCCTCGGACGGGTAATCGTCAGTGCCGGAATAATAATGCTGACCAGATCTGCAATGTAGGGGCAGGCAGGTCAGGATCCGGACCTCTGGACGGCCCGTGGCGAGTCCCTCGGGGTTGCCAGCTTCACGGAGGGCAAGGAGCTGGACGAGCAGCAGGCCTCTGCGCCAGCTCGCCCTCCACAAGGCGCTTCTTCCCGTGCGCAGTGACTGGGTTCGAGTAGCACTCCTAGCCAGCTGAAGGCTCGTGAGTTTGGGAGCCCCTCATTCATGGTAGCAGGCTTGTCGGTTTGCATATGTCTTAATGTATGGGGTGCAGAGGTGGTGTTAGGGCTGACCCACTAGGACTGGAGCCCCAAAATGTTCACTGAGTCTCTGGGAGGTCCTGTGCCGCAACCCCGGCTGCCCAGGGAGACAGGCCCGGGCCCTGCTCGCGCGCGCGCGCGCGCGCGCGCGCTCTCTCTCTCTCTCTCTCTCTCTCTCTCTCTCTCTCTCTCTCTCTCTCTCTCTCTCTCTCGTGTCTCTGCTGCACCTGCTCTCCCTGGAGTCACTGACTCTTGGCCCACACGGGCTGCATCTCCGGCCGCCATTCCCTGAACCTTCTCTTTTCAGTCCCCTCCTCCCTGTTGTCCATTTGCCCATTTTAATAATGGGAGCGTCCTTAAGGGGCAGGGTACTTTAGACACGCACGCACACGTGTAACCTAAGAGGAGAGAAAGAGGTCTCTGCCCCAAGGAGTTTGCACTGGAAGGACGGGAGGCCTGTTTAGGGACAACATGAAGCAACGGGATACAGCAGTGGCAAAAGCGTTCATGGAGGAAGGAATTCTCCGCTTGGGCTGAGCTTCTGCATAAGCAGCTACCTCCAGAAGATGGAGGCCCAGTGTGATATTTTCTTTAAAGGATGAGTTTTTTCCCGAAATCGCTGCTGCTCCTTGATGCATTTTGGACTTCTTTTCCTAGATGGAGGACCCCGTGCAGCTGAAGGAGGAAGGGAATCGGTATTTCCAAGCCAACGACTTTGAGAACGCGATTAAAAGCTACACCAGAGCTCTTAAGGTTAACAAGGACAAACCACTCCAGGCTCTGCTGTATCGAAACCGCGCAGCATGTTTCCTGAAAAAGGTGAGCCGATGGGAGCAGCGTGGATGCCGTCATAGGATGCCTCATAAATAGAGAGGGGTGGCAGTGCCTGGGCGAGAAAATCTCCTGCAAAAGGGGATTAAGCTCATGGAAGCACAGAATCAGGAGAGACCTTGAAGGTCATCTAGTCCAGCCCACTGCGCAGTCCAGGTTCTGTGCTAGACGGTGGTGCCCCAATGAACAGTAAACAAGAAAAGAAATAGAAGAGCAAAAACATTTAAAGCTGCAGTCGAGTAAAACAGTGGCTGGGCGACGAGGAAGGCTTCCTGGAATAAAGGCAATGCAGCCTTGGAGCCTGCCGCACCCCTGGAGGCAGGGAGGGGTCCAGGAAAGCGGGGCCACCACGGTGAGGGCCCTTCCCGCTGGGCCACGAGTCTCCATGGAAGCGCCAGGCACTGGTCTCTGTAGCCTCAGTGGCCAGGCAGGCTGGTGAGGGAGAGGCTCTCTCTCAGGGAGCCTGGGGGCCCTGTACACCAGAACCCCAAACCCCAGGGCTGGCCTGGAGTGAGCAGGCTGTGGGGCAGCCCCCTCAGCAAAGGCGCTGCAGGCTGCCAAGGAGCACCCGCTCGGCCTTCCAGGGCAGCCCCACGGAGAGGGCTTTGCGGCAATTCGGTCTTGAGGCTGGTGGCAGCCGCATCCTGACAGGCATCCCCCCAGCCTCCGCTTGAACACCTGGGGAGGGGGCGCCTGTCCCACTGCGGGATGCGGCCAGGGAACTTCTGCCGTGCAGTAGCCAGAATCTGCTCCCCTGCAATGCCCCCCCCCCGCCCGGCTTCCATCTTCTGAAGCCACAGCTTGCGGGGGGGTGAAATGGCAGAGTCCCCATTGAGAAAATAGCCAGAGGGGCCACCAGGAAGTTCTGCCCCTGCCCCTGTCCCCACTGGCCGTGCCAGCCCAGCAATGCGGCCCCCAAGAGCCTCTCCTCAGCAGCCTTTGGCCCTCGGCCGGAAAGGCCTTCCACACCCCTGCTTTGCGGGGTAGTCAGCAAGGCGGGGCAGAGACGTGGCTGTGGGGAGGGGGTGAAGGAGGCCCCCAGGCCCAGCCTTTGGGATCGGTTGTGCACACTTTCCCTTTCTTTCCAAATTCGCAGGAGAACTACCCCCAGGCGGCGGCAGACGCATCGAGAGGTAAGCCCGACAGTGGGCGACGGAGCACTTGGGATTCGGGGCAGTGGTGGCTGCACCGGGACTTGGATTTGAGCATCAGTAGCTTAGTGTCAAAGCACCTGCATAGTTTCAAAAATGCTGGTAAAGAGGCCATGCCCTTAGAAAAAGGCTTTTACCTTCTAAAAAATATAAAAGCTTTATATTTCAACCTAGGGTAGACTCGCTGTGCTGTTGGACTTGAAGCATCACCGTTCCCAGCCACCACCCGTGCTGGCTGGAACATGATGGGAACTGAAGTCCTGCAGCACCCAGCAGGCCTCTGGTCCTCCTCCTGCAGCTGGAAAGTCTGAGCTTCCCATCAGATGCACTTCTCGACCTGCCAGGCAGCGAGCCTCGTGAGGGCTGCACGAGGCAGGAGGCCAGCTTTTGAACGTGCTGGTACCTGCCTCTGGGGTAGGAAGGCCTGATAGCTGTGAGGAAATACATAGGCGTGACAGTTATTTGGCTCTAGACTTTTTCATTTGAAAAATGGCAGAAAATCAACACGCTTTTGCCATGCGGTTGTTGAGGCCGGATATGAATTTTGGTAACTAAGGCTGGAGAGGTGCAACAGACTTCCCCCTGCTCGTCCCCTGCAGTCTCCCTGCATCTCATTTTCTCCTCTTGCCTTGCTCTTACAGATGGCAGGCCACTCGGGGCAGAGACCTCACTGCTTGTCGTACTTTACAAAGTACTGTGCACGTCGTATTTATTTACTGAAAGCATGTTCACCCTCGTCCTCAGCTCCAAAAATCTCCCAGAGTGGCTTGCGTAGGTCAATAGCAAGATAGCCTCTGCCCATCCCTGTGAGGGGCAGCACTAGATGAAAAGGGATGGCAAGGGAAGAGGAAAGCGAGCAAAGGCAGGTCCCGGTCCTTAGCTCCCGGGTGGCAGCCAGAGGCCAAAGGTTGCCTGGCCAGGGGCCCAGTCTGGCGCCCCACGACTCGAGGCATCGCTCAGTCGCCGGTTCCTGTTTTAGGCAGTTCCCCCACTTTAGAAGGAGATGTTCCTCAGACAGGTAGAAAGCTTCCAGCAGGTGGGGTTTGCAGTTTGGGCTCCTCCCACCCCTGGAACTCCGGGCCCTTGGGCTGGCAGCTCCCCCTCCCGCCCTCGGAGGTGCACGGCCGGCCGGTCGCTTGAGCCCCTGGCCAGGCAGGAGCAGCGGGAGGGGGCGGTGGCTCAGTGGCCGAGCCGATGGAGTGGGCGGCCCTTCTTGCTCCAGGGGGCAGCCGCTCGGCCCTTTCTCCCCCCCAGCAATCGACATCAACGCCTCGGACATTAAGGCCTTGTACCGACGCAGCCAGGCCATGGAGAAGCTGGGCAAGCTGGACCAGGCGTTCAGGGACATCCAGCGGTGCGCCACGATCGAGCCACGGAACAAAAGCTTCCAGGAGACCCTTCACCGTCTGGGAGCCAGCCTCCAGGAGAAGGTGACGCCGGGTGGGGCAAATATTTGGGAAGAAAGGCCCTGCGATGGCCGCATTCCCCAGCAGGCGGCCGAGGGCCCTTCTGCACCTCAGCAGGCCCAAGGCTGCACCGTTAATCGACTTCCTGTGCTTGTTAAGCTGCACTGAGCGCCTTTTTAATTGGTAGAAAGCCAGGATATCCATCAGCTCAGTCCGTCTTCCATCCCATTCAGGAGGCATCAACCTGGTTCCCTGCAGGGGTTGTGGAGTGCTGCTCCCAGCGCCCCCCACCGGGAGGGCTGATGGTAAAAGGTGATGGAGCTGCAGCACAGAGGGCATGGCGGGCACCAGCCTCCGGGCTGAGCCGGCACAGGAAGCGAAGTCACCTCTGCTCCGTCCCCAGTTCTTCAGCCCTTCTCGCCCAGCCTTCCTCAGATATGCTGGCTGGAGCCCTCACTGTGCCAGGCCGCGTGGCCCATGGCAGCGACGTGAGAGCAGTGCCGAACAAGGCAGTCTCCGTCTGCAGGTTTTCCAAATAAAGATACAGCATGAAAGGAAGAAGGGTGGTGAGGGAAGAGGAAAACGACACATTTGGAGGGCACTAGCTTGGGGAAGTGTGCACTAACTCATGACAGCTTCCTCCTCCATCCCCGAGGCAGCTCCGCCTGCAGTTCTCCACCGATGCCCGGGTTCAGCAAATGTTTGAAATCTTGTTGGATGAGAAGAGTGAGAAAGAGAAGCGAGAGAAGGTGAGATGCTTCGAATCAGGCCCAAAACACCATCTTTGCTGCGATTATTTCAACACTAAGAGTAGCTTTCAGCTTTCCTTTGTTCTGCTCCTCCTTCCATCTCTTTGGCCCTTTTTCCAAACCAGGCGGCGAACAATCTTATCGTCCTCGGTCGGGAGGAAGCTGGATCAGAGAGGATCTTTCAAAATAACGGACTTCACCTGCTTGTGAAGCTCATAGAGACCAAAAACCCGGAGCTGATGCTCGCGGCAGTTCGGACCCTTTCAGGGATGTGTGCAGGACACAAGGCACGGGTGAGCCTGGGGTGGCCTTAACACTCTCCTGGTCTTCACGGTGGTGTGTGGCCGCAGCTTGGTGTGGGTGGCCTTCGGTTCAGCCGAAGAGATAAAACCAAGTTTTCTGCATGTATATTGAGAATCTACAAATGCATGGGAAAGAATTTGGTATCAGGCATGGAAATTTGGCTCCTTCGGGGGTTTAATTTTTCAAAAGAGCAGGAAGTTTCTAGACCTGCAGGTTCACAGACGTGGAAGACACTGGGTGAAATCGCGGAAGCTAATGGCGGCTGCCAAGCGAGACATCCACCTGTTCTGCTGGACACGGTTGGTGTCAGTGTCCCACAGGGTTTCCAGATTCAGTCTCTGGTGGCATCGCCAGTAGGGCAGGAATCTCAGAACAGTAGAGTTGGAAGGGGCCATGAAGGCCATCAGGTCCAGCCCCCTGCGGTTTGATTTATACGACTTCACTTAGATGGCTGTCCAGTTTCCAAGAAAAAGGCTTGCCTGGAAATGTGTTGTCGGTCAGTGTCGACAGCAGAGTTAGTTGGAGCCATGGTGTGACTCTGCAGGAGGAGTTCCTGTGCTCCTAAAAGTGTGAAAACACATTAGCAAAGTAAATGCATAAATCACATAGAACACATGTGCAAAAGTGGCATTATTTTCATTATATTCATGCAGACCTGTCACAGGGTTCAGCTTTCTGTTGATAGAAAGGATCAGATCAGTCTTCTTTTGCGCCCAACCTGAAAAAAACACGGGGTGCCGCTGGACTGTGGGCGAGTAATGCTATGCGTCAGAAGGTCTCCTGCAGCCCTTCTGGCTCGTCCTCCTCCTGGGTCCTCCACAGTAGGAAAGAAGATGGACCTCGTGCTGGGGAAGCAGAGGAGGGTTTGAGGAGGAAGGCGCCATGTCTGGATGACAGCCTCGCCTGGAAGCGCCTGTCGGCCAGTCACGCCATCTCATTCCTTTCGGACAGGCCACTGCCATTCTGCGCACGCTGGGCATCAACAACATTTGCCTCTGGATGTCCATCGACCACGAGGAGATCTCGCTGGCCGTCTCCAACCTTCTGCAGGCCATCATCGACTCTTTGGCCGGGGAGGGCAAGAAGGAAGAGCACGGAAAGGAGGACGCCCTGGTGCTGGGTAATTAGCATTCTCCGCCGTTCGGCAGCCTTGCCTAGGGTGGATTCACAGTGAGCTCCGTAACACTGGGTGGCCCGAAAGGGGCTCCTTCCCCTTGGGGACAACCTGTCTCGGAACAGCTGCCAGCGCCACCGCGACTGTCCCTTCCGCTCTTGCACTCCTTCTCTGTGCCGCTGCCTCTCTCTCTTCTGCCACTGCCCAGCCCCCCCCCCCCCACCCCCATTAGATCAAGGCACAAGGGTTCTAGTTCAGCCTTTTCTGGAGTCGAGCTGGCTTCATAATACAGAGTGAGCAACATAAAAGTCATGAGCAAGAAACATCAATGAGCCGATGATCCTTCTAATTGCCACGTGAGTTCTTCCTGGTGCCAGCGCTGATTCTGTCAGAATCCCCTTCTTCCCTTTTCCTCTAAACAAAGCTAGTTCCGCCTTTAAGGGGCATGACTTGTGGGCCAGATCTGAACAGCTGGGCTGATAAATTCACCAGGCCCCCATAGATTTTTCAATGTGATGCAATAAAGAGTGGTTTAAAATGAAATATGATTACATTAATTATATTTGGCAGCCTGTATTCTTTTGCTGGCTCTCCTGGAATAACCCCTCTCCTGAAGCCCCCAGCCACAAAAACCCTCGAACTTTTTGTCCTGCCTTCGTGGAAATTAACTCCACCAGCTCAGCACGGGTGACCGAGGCTCGCAGCTCTTTCGAGCCGGGAGAGAGCGTTCACGCGGAGCAAGCAAGAGTTGGCCCGTGCACCTTGCCATGTCCTCAGCATTCAGACCTTCCACCGGGGACTCGGTTGAGGGTGGGGTGCAGGTTACTTCCTCGGGCAGAGTGGTCATGGACCTCCTGCCTGGCAAACACAGCCATCCACCGCCCTCTGCTTCAGAGGGTGTCCCCGGGTGAGCCTCCATCTCCCCAGCCACAGGGACGCCTCTAGCCACAAAACCAGGCAAGGGCTTGCTCGGTTCCCGCAGGCGGGCTGGAGCTGATTACCGTGCCAGTTCGTCCGTTTGCATAGGGCTCTGACTGGGTTCAGTTCCCTCCTGAGACAACGTCCTCCTATGGCTCTTGTTGGAGGGAGCTCAGCTGGCACTCGGAACTATCCTTCTGCCTGCCTTGGTTTGGCTTCACGAGGCGGCAGACTGGGATTCACACGTGTGCATCGACGGCATTGTTCTTGCTCGTTTTCCCCACCCTGTGCTGCTTTCTCCTTTCATGCAGACACAAAGAAGGATCTGAGGGGGATCATGGTTCACCTCCTAGATATGCTTCCTAATAAAAAGGTGTCTGGACAAGGCCGGGATCGGGCACTCAACTTACTGAATAAGAATGTGCCAAGGCAGGACCAGAGACATCCTGACAACAGCCGCACCCTATTTGTGATTGATAATGGTATGCATACATTGAAGGCTCTCTTGCTGTCTGTTGTTTGCTAGGGTTCGCACAACACTGACCCATGCTATGGGTTGTTGAGTCCTGGGTTGTCGTCTTGTGAAAACCCAGCCTCACAAACTAATGCTTTGTCAACTCAGGAGGAGAACCAGTTCACGCACCAGATTGCAATTCCTGCATTGTTTAAACTCGGAATGGCTTAAGGCAAATGAAAGCGTAAGCATTCCCTCTCGTGTGAGCCCATCGCTCCTGGGTTGTTTTGTGGCATGCAAACCTGGAAGATCTGAGTCATTAACCCAACAGTTGCCCTTGATTTATTGGATTGTTATTTGAAATAGAAGCGATGAGAAGGCAGGAGACCACAAGCTCATCATGCAGCTTGCAGCCAACGGTTCCTAAGTTAAAACAACCCAGAGTTAAAGCATGACACTTGAACCAGCTCATGGCTTCTTGTTTGGTTGTGAACGGTGGGTTGTTTAAACCATGTGTTGTCGTTATGTGTGAACCCAGAACGGAAGTCGGTTCATGCAATGTTTTGCCAGGCCACAGAGGCTCTGGGTCAAAGTGGTAGGAAGACCCCAGCCACTCCCAATAGGAAACCTGGGAGCCCCCGCCACCTTCGACTGTGATTAATACACGAGACCAGCATTCCGCCTGCCTCGATTTTTCCTTTAGACCATCAGCTTTGGCAGGTTATGTCTCTGCATGTACTTACTTACAGTGTTTTTATCCTGCTTCTCTGACAAAACATCTTCTGGAAAGGCTTACACCCAGTCAATAAAATCAGGCCATCCTGGCCCACAGGTTTACATTCCAAGAAGATGTAAGCCGCCCCGAGGCTTCGGCAAGGGGCGGCATAGAAATATAATAATAATAATAATAATAATAATAATAATAATAATAATAATAATGATAATGATAATATGCAACACACAAGGAAAGGGAATGGGGAGGGAAGAGGGGGAAACTCCAACTCATCTTCGTCTCCCTCTCTCTCCTGTCCCTCTCGTCTCCTCTCTGCCTCTACTTCCTTGTCCCTCCCACAGGACTAAAAAAGATCCTAAAAGTTGCTGGCGAGATTCCAGACATGCCCAACTGCCTCCCCTTGACGGAGAACTCCCAGTTGACAGCTTCAGTTCTTCTGAATAAACTGTATGATGACTTGCGCTGTGACCCCGAGAGAGAAAATTTCAGGCTGCAATGTGAAGAATACATCAAGTGAGTCCAGCTGCATGGTTCCTGCACTGGATTTCACGGGTGGCCCAGCCGCAAGACGGAGCGAGGGCACAGACCGTCGTCAGGATGCGTACACCGAAACGAGAGAACCAGAGCAAAGGCCTGTGGGGAAATAGTTCGTAGGCCAAGGGGAGAGGCCGCGGCTGCAGGGTGAGGCAGGGAGTACGGGCTGGGACTGCAGCCTCCCCTGATGGGCCAACGCGGATGATGCTCCCAGGGCCTCGAAGGCTTGTGGCGGGCCCACTTGGCTCTGTCCTCTGCCCTGCCTCTCCAGCCTGGAGGGGTCTGAAAGGGGTGGCGGGGGCCACACCACTGCCCCCCAGGTTAGAAAGAGCTGCTCATGTGGCCCTGCAGGCCCACACCGAGCACGCCTGTGGTGGTGACGGCACTCAGCCCACCATGCGGCGCCTCTGGCGGTGCGGGAAGCGCATTGTTACGGTGCTGTCCGGGGGGGGGGGGCATCACGCCCTTCCCTGTCCGCCCTCACCCAGGTGGGCCGCGCCCCCCTCCCTCCCTGCCTCTGCCTGCCCCTAGGAGAAAGATCGACCCGCAGGACATGGACAAGACGCTGCACGCCATCCAGATGGTGTCGGCGATCCTGCAGGGGCCCTTCGACTTGGGCAACCAGCTGCTGGGCATGAAGGGCGTGATGGAGATGATGGTGGCGCTCTGCGGCTCCGAGCGCGAGATCGACCAGCTGGTGGCCGTGGAGGCGCTCATCCACGCGTCCACCAAGCTGAGCCGCGCCACCTTCATCATCACCAACGGCATCTCGCTGCTGAAGGAAATCTACAAGAAGACCCAGAACGAGAAGATCAAGATACGTGCTCTGGTGGTGAGCGTTCCCCCTGCAGCCCCTGGCCATTGACGCCGTCCCCCGGGGGAGGAAGGGTGCCTCGCCCCTATCCGTCCTCCCCAGCAGCCCCCAGGGAGTGATGGGAAGCGTAGTCTGGCGCAGCTGGAAGGCACTGGCTGCAGGAGGCAGCAGTGAGGCCGCTTCCACAGTGGACCGGCCGGGACGTTAATCGGGTTCGGATCCGCATCACGCGCAAAACGTCCGGGGCGGCTGCGAGGCAAACGTCTGCCGCCCAGACAAGCGCAGGCTCCACCCTTGCGCGAAGGCCGACCGAGCTCCCGAGCCCTCCGCAGGGGTCCGAGGGGCCCGGTTCTGCCTGGCGCTGCCCGGCAGTGGCGACCCGAGGCGCCCGGCACAGGGAGAGCTGTCTCAGGCTTGCCAGCTCCGAAGCGCCAGTGATGGGAGGCGAAGCTGTGCTCCTGCCCAGCCAAGCTCGTGCAGGTCCCTCCTCCCCGGGGAGCCGTCGTGGGGAGTCCTGTGCTGGGAACTCTCGCTGCTCCCTCCAGTCATAGCGGGCAGATGACGGTGGAGGAGGCCAGCCAGGCCTCCTGGCGCGCGTGTGCCGCACATCACCCATATGGGGTGGATGCGCAAGTCCCCAGCGTGCCCCGGGGCATCTGCAGGGTGCGGCCTTCTGCATCCTGGCCTCTCCTGGTGGGAGGGCTGGAAACGGGCCTGGCCCCAAGGGTGCTTGGCAGCATGCGCCCCGCTCCGTCCAGCCACAGGTGGCATGGTGAGCAGGGCTATGTACGCCCCGCCGCTCCCCGGCTCGGTTGCCCAGCCTCGGCTTCATGGGGGAGCCGTCCTCCACCAGGCAGGCTGGCCCTGGTCCAGCCATCTAGGTCACAGCTACAGGGAGACAAGCAACAGGGGGGGTGGACTTCACGGCTTCCTCGTGGGCTTCCTCCAGCTGGATCCTGCAAAATGCAGGGTGCTGGATCAGGGCCTTGGGGCACGAGCCCGCAGGGCTGCTCCTGGAGTGCCTTCTGTCAGGGGCTTTAAAGTGCTCTTGCTCTTCGAGCAAGCGGAAGCTCGTGGTCTGTGCGGTGCAGCCGGAAGTGGAATATGGGTTGCCCCTGGGCAGTGGATTATGGGTAACAGTGCTGTTTTCTGAAAAATAATGAGCTTTTTGGATCAGTCTGAACACACCATAATCACCCGCACTCAGGCCTTGAGCATGGTTGCTGGTTGGTGCGTCATTTGCTGAACTGGGTTACTGATTGTCTGAACCCAGCCGTGTTAACACACCAGGAACTGTTAAGCACAAACAAGCCATAACAAGGACCCATGAATTGTTGTTAGGTGTTGTATTGTGGGTCTTTTATGGTTAACGATCCACGGTTTCTTAGTGCAACTGGATTCAGGCAACACGATAACCCACAGTCCCACAACAACCCACACTCTGCCTGTGCTCAACCCTTGCCTGTACTCCTACGCCTTGATTACTGGCACCAACAACTTTCAGCTAAAATAGCCTGGTATTTTTGCCACTTTGACCCTGCCCCTTCGTCTGTGCCCCCGTCCCCCCCGGAGAGCTTCTGCAGAACCGAATTCAGCCGGCAGGTGGTACGCGGTTCCCCACCCCGCGTCATAATTGGGTAAGCGGCTCTTCCTCCCCAGCGCTGAGAGCACAGACAGCCTCCCGATTCTCTTGCCAGGGTCTCTGCAAGCTTGGCTCGGCCGGCGGCACCGACTACGGCCTGAGGCAATTTGCTGAAGGATCTACCGAAAAGCTGGCCAGACAGTGCCGAAAGTGAGTGGCAGACCCGTCTTGGGAGGGGAAATTGATTCCACATGTCTGCGCCTCTCTCCCTTCTGCCCCTTCCCCGGTAGCTTCCCACAGGTGAGGTTTCTGATCTGGCGTGGACATAGCTGCTTTCTCGTGCAAAGGTCAGAGGTAGCAGTGATGGCCATCTTTGGACTCCAGGACCTGGATTTCTGCAAGAGAGCCTTCCCCACCCCCTGGGTGTGTTGACTGCAGCTCCCAGAAACCCTCAGCCAGGGGACACTGTGCTGGCTGGGGTATCTTGGGAGCTGTGGTCCAGCACTTCTGGAAGAGCCCCAGCTCAGGAAGGCTGGTGGAATACCCGCATTACAAAACATGCATGCACCTGCGCAGTCCTGCTCTTTTCTGCAGGCGAGATGGTAGCAGCTGGAGTTATTTGTCTTGCCAGAGCTTATCAGCCTCGTTGCTGGTCGGTCGCAGCGGGCAGCACTTGCGGGAGGCAGTGCCAGTTGCTCATAGAGACAGAGCGAGTCAGAAGGGGTCTCCCGGGCCATCTCGTCTGACCCCCGGCTCCAGCCGGCTCCGCTCACGACATGCCCACTCATGCGAGCCCAAGGGATGGAAAACTGAAAGGAACGGGGTGGGGGGCAGATAGGAGGGCAGCCCGAGCGGTGTGGTGGCCCAGGGCTCTGTGCAGGGGGCTTGGGTGCAAAGGGTCCCGAGGCAAAAGCTGCCTGCTCGGCGGATCGGATTTCGTCCCAGTGAAGCTTCCGAAAAGTGGGCGAGTATCGACCTCCTTGCCATCTAGGTGGCTTTGCAATCCAGCCATCGACACGCGCACTCGGAAATGGGCCATCGAGGGGCTTGCCTACTTGACCTTGGATGCGGACGTCAAGGATGACTTTGTGGAAGACGAGCCAGCCATGCAAGCCATGTTTGACCTGGCCAAGGTAGGGCGGGCCGCCAGCGCACGCATGCGGGCAACGCACGGGCCGACGGCCCCCGGCAGAACCGTGCATGTTGGCGGATTGCGTTCCCCGTGCGTATAGTGACGTGCTGAACGCCGTTCGGCCCAAGAGCTGAATGCAGTTTCTCAGTGGGCAAAGCTGAAGGCCAGAGCTGTTTGGGGAGCTGTGGAGGGCCACCCCGCCACCCCGAGCCTGCTCACTGCCAGGGATTGCTTAGCTTGCAAGAGGGTGGTTCATCCTTTGGCCTTGGCTGCCACCGGAAGGTCGTTTCCAAAATGGAATTTGAAGAGTCAGCACCCCAAGACCAAGGAGGAAAGGATGCCAGGGGAGGTGAAGCTCAAAGGAGGAACCCCCTGGACTGAAGAGTTTAGTTCCTTCCAGTGGCCCTTTTATATACAGTGTTATGCTTCCCCTGGCAAGAGGAAGAAAAGGTGGGATATAAATCTAAAGCAGATCATCATCATCATCATCATCTAAGGCCCTTCTCCCAGTGCCTCCTTTGGGGAGTCCTGGAACTTCCCAATGAGGCTTTGGGGGAGTCAACCTCCTGGCAAGGCCTGCCAGCAGCAACATTAGTCTCTTAATTAAGCATTTAATAAGGGCTTTAATTGGGCTCTGGATTTTTATTGTTGGTTGTTGGGATGTGCTCGTGCTGTGATCCGGGATGGTTGCATGTCCATGGGTTTTATATTACACAGTTTTAAGTTTTTTGATCTTAATTTATAGTTGTAAGGTTTTTGATCTTTCTCAAACCACCCAGAGAGCATTTGCTATTGGGTGGTGTGGATGTCTGTTAAGTGGCATGAAAATGAAACGAGGTTTTCTGCATGCAGACGAGCGACAAGACCATCTTGTACTCCGTGGCCTCCGTCCTGGTGAACTGCACCAACAGCTACGATGTCAAGGAGATCATCCCGGAACTTGTGCAGCTGGCTAAGTTTTCGAAACAGCACGTCCCCGAGGAGCATCCGAAAGTATGCAGCCCGCTTTTGACATCGGCCGGTTCCGCAGATGAGCAGATAGCTCCGCGGGGCTGCTGCCAGCCTGCTGCCCACGCTTTCTGGAGCTTGGGCAGGGCTGCCCCGGAGCCTGAGACGGAGAGCAGGCATGACTCTTGCTCCATTCTCTTCCCTGCCCCTCCTGCAGGACAAAAAGGACTTCGTTGTCAAGCGGGTGAAACGTCTGATCAAAGCTGGCATCGTCTCTGCGCTCGTTTGCATGGTGAAGGCAGACAGTGCCATTTTGACAGATCAGACCAAAGAGCTCTTGGCCAGGTAACATGCGGCTCTCTCGGGGTTGACGTGCCTCCGGACATAAAGGGGCACGAAGGGGAGTGCTTTTCGTAAAGGCTGAAATGTCAGGTGCAGGCGGGGATGTGAACGTCACCTTTGAAAGATGTCGGGTGACCGCTTGGGAATCTCATGGTCAAAGTGCACCGCCAAAGGTATTCCCTGAATGGATATTTCAGGACCGAGGCAGGTGGCATTAATAGCACAGCCCATTTGGCACCTCATCGGGACAGCAGACTCTGAAAGAAGAGGGAGCTGGCTTGTTCAGGAGGCCTGAGGTTTGCTGGGGGAGGAGGGGAAGGTTTTGGGCCCCTGCCCGACCACCACGCTTAAGTCACAAATTGCAGCTTTAAGAGCAGAAAATGACCCGGCTGCGCATGTCTGGGGCTGTGTGGAGGAAAGAGATCCCATCCAGAGCTGCACGCCACAAACAGGAAAGTTTTGTTGGGCCTGGAATGTCTCAGAACGATAAGCAAAGGGGAGCCAGGTTGCCCCAGAGCACCCCATGAAGAACTGATCTTGCTCATTAGCCATGGAATGTTGACGGTCAATGTTCATAACGCGTTTTTATTCCATTTTTGGCAGAGTTTTTCTTGCATTGTGTGAAGATTCCAAGGACCGTGGCACCATTGTTGCTCAAGGGGGTGGAAAGGTAATGGATTTTATTTATTTAGGGTGCAAACCTATGCATGCGTGGACAGAAAAATGTCCTAAAACTCAGAGAGAGAGAGGATGAGAGTGAGAGAGACTGCGTTCAGACAACGTTAGTCTGGGTATAGCTTCAGTGTGTGTTTGTGACTGAAATAAAACCGTCCTTGATCCAGTAAAGAAGAGACTATCAGGTTTCCCAGGAAAACCCTTATCAAAGAGAGACTGAACGCTTGATCTGGTTTTAAACACTATGCGTGTAACATTTTTTTCTATGATATAAAGAATACAAAAGAGTAAGAATGCTAGTTTAGCGATCAGCAGCAGCGCTATCAAACGAGGCCTCATTCACACTCGCATTCGTCCGATACTCACACGCAGCCAGCGGAGCCTCCTGCGGCGGTGCCGAGGGCTGTCGTGCCCGGTTGCGGCGCTGTCCTGGCACACGCGGGAGCTGGGCATTTTATACCTCAGTCGTCCAAACTGCTTCGAACAGTGAGCTCGTCTGGGCAAAAGCAGACGCGGAATGTACTGGTCTTCCTTTAACATGGAAAGGCATGTTCACCAGATTCCATTCCTCTCTCGATGGTACTTCTCTATTATGGGCTTATCTTATCTATTATGTTCCCGGCGTTCGTTTTTGCTGTGCAAAATACCTCAGTCTTGGTCCGTCCCATCACGCTCCTTGATTCTCCCTTTTCTTCTGGGCCTCTTAGGCCTCCAGGAACGCAAGCACACTGCAACAGGTTAACCACCACCATGGTTTGTTAACCACAAACAGCACACCATTCACACCCCGACACCAAAGCAGGGTTTGGTTCTCTCCATGGGTTGCTCCAGGTTAAAAAGCTGCGATGTGCCAGTGCGGCTGGGTGCAGAGACGACATGGTTGCTCACATCTCAAGAGCAAACCCCTCTCAGCCCTTGCCCGGGGTTCTCGTGCTGCCTGAACCCAGTCAGAGAGAGAGAGATGGCCGCCCCCCGGTACATCTGCACTGTGAGAAACTACCTTGATGCTTTGGAGATGCTACGGTGAAAATATGACTTCGTACCCTACCGTGCCTTCGTTTCTTATTTTCTTGCGCCCTTAGGCCCTTATCCCGCTGGCTCTGGAAGGCACCGAGGTTGGCAAAATCAAAGCGTCCCACGCACTGGCCAAAATTGCTGCCATCTCCAATCCAGACATCGCATTCCCCGGTGAGCGGGTGAGTCGCTGCTTGGGGAGCACCTTTCGCACTCCACCCTGGTGGAACGGACTAGACTGCCTTAGCTGGACAGAGAGAGGAGCGCCCAGGGCTCAAAGTCCTGGTTGGTCCAACCCAGCTGTGACGACTCTGGCCGGCAGCAAAGGGTCCCAGACCCACTCATGACCACTTTCAGTTGGAGATTCCAGGGACCGAATCTTTGGCTAACAGGGCTGCGGCTGTCATCCGTGCAAGAGGCACTGTGGTGCAATGGCTAGAGTGTAGGACTTGGACGTGGGAGATCCAGGTCTAGTTCGCAGCCAGCAGTGATAATTATGGGATGGCTGGCTTCTGCCAGCCCCTGGCTCTCAGCCTCACCTGGCTCGCGGGGCTGTTGGGAGGGTAACTTGGAGAGAAGGGGCTCTGCCCAGTTGCGGTTTCTACCCCAGCCCTGGGGGCAGCCCCACACTGAGCCCACTGCAGTAGCCTAAGTGTCCCGTCACCCCTGCGAGGATCGCTCTCCAGGAAAGGACACTCCAGGCCTTCACCTCAGCCCATTCCCGAGGAGAAATATTTTCCCCTGTTGCAACGCAAAACATTTTGGGGTGTGTGGTCTCTGGTGGGCCATTAGGATTCACCAGGTTCGCAAAAGAAGTGCTTCTGGTGGAGAGGAACATGGGTGCGGTGCGTATGGGGGTTTCTGGGCTCTCCTCGGGAGCGTGTCTGTGGCATCGGTCCCAGCAAGGGCGTGTGCTGCAGCGTTTCCGGAGGACTGGTCTCTCCCGGGGCAGCCTCCCACAGCCCGGCGTCCTCCAGGGTCGGCGAGTGGCAACTGCCATTGCTCCCAGCCAGGCAGGTTGGACCTGACTTCCCACAGCCCCGCCGGCTGCCTTGGCCACGTGGCGTCTGGCCGAGGCAATCCCCGGACGTCGCTTCTCCCCCCATTCCAGGTGTACGAAGTTGTGCGGCCGCTGGTCAGCTTACTGAACACCGAGCGAGACGGGCTGCAGAACTACGAGGCTTTGCTGGGCCTCACCAACTTTTCCGGAAGAAGCGACAAGCTCCGGTGAGCGGCACAAACAATCGAGCGATGCCCCCAACTCCCCCTCCTCACAATCTCACTCTCCCTCCGCGCACCTTCCTGGTTCACCCTCGTGTTTTATATTGGCGACTTCCCTGCATTTCTTGCTTCACGTGGCCTGTCTTTTCCCCTCTGACTGTCTGCATTTGTGTCCAGAGGGAAAGTGACCCGGGTTGTGTGTGGCACCAAAGCATCTGGCGGCACCTGAAAGACGGGGCCATTTTTACAAGCTTTATGATAGATGTACATATGAATACCACAAAGTCAAAAAAAAAAAAAAGGGTCAGGGAGGCAAATGAGATGGATGTATAGGGTTGCTCAATTAAATCCGAAACACTCACAGTCACCCAGCAATCAAAGGGCATGGGAGTGCGGAGGCCACTTTTCTGGATGTGTTTGCATAAATTTACATGTTACATTATCCAGTCTTTCCTGATGATCACAATAAACATTACGATCCAATGCCCACATCAAGAAATCACACAAATAGCCCAAAGCAATAATTCATAAGGAACTAATCCTGAGAAAAGAGAAGGGAAACCTCAGGAACCTGCCGCTTAGGTGGGGCTGTTCTTGCCAAGGCTTTTGTTGTTAGTCGCAAAGTCATGTCCGACCCATCGCGACCCCATAGACAACATTCCTCCAGGCCTTCCTGTCCTCCTCCATCTCCCAGAGTCCACTCAGGCTCACGCCGACTGCTTCAGTGACTCCATCTAGCCACCTCATCCTCTGCCATCCCCTTCTCCTTTTGCCCTCAATTGTTCCCAGCATCAGGGTCTTCTCCAGGGAGTCCTTCCTTCTCATTAGGTGGCCAAAGTATTGGAGTTTCATCTTCACTATCTGGCCTTCTAAAGAGCAGCCAGGGCTGATCTCCTCCAGGACTGACCGGTTTGATCGCCTTGCGGTCCAAGGGACTCGCAGGCGTCTCTTCCAGCACCACAATTCAAAGGCCTCAATCCTTCGGCGCTCAGCCTTCCTTATGGTCCAACTTTCACAGCCATACATTGCAACTGGGAAAACCACAGCCATGACTATATGCATTTTGTCGGCAGGGTGATGTCTCTGCTTTTTAGTGTGCTGTCTAGATTTGCCATAGCTTTCCTCCCCAGGAGCAAGCGTCTTTTAATTTCTTGGCTGCAGTCCCCATATGCGGTGATCTTGGAGCCCAGGAAAATAAAATCTGTCACTACCTCAATTTCTTCCCCATCTATTTGCCAGGAGGTGATCTTTTCTTGAGCTTAACATGATCTTAGTTTTCTTAATGTTGCGTTTCAAGCCAACTTTTGTGCTCTCCTCTTTCACCCGCATCAAGAGGCTCTTTAGTTCCTCTTCACTTTCTGCCATTAGCCAAGCCTTTTAGCCTGCCACTTTTCTGAGGCTCCTGCTTCAGGATCCTTTCGGCGATTCACATTGGCTCCTTGGCACATTTTCCCGGGAGTTTCCCTCTCGCTGCCTTTCTGCATGTCCCCTCTGCTCAGTGGTGTGGCCGTGGAGCAGGACTGCATGAACACGTGAGCATTTTATTTATTTATTTATTAAAACATTTTTATGCCGCCCCATTCGCCGAAGCCTCGGGGCGGCTCACAACATAAGTTAAAATACAAACATTAAGTTAAAATACAAAATAACAATATAAAATAAGTCGCCCTGGCCATTTCATGCCCACGTTTGAGATTCAGCGGCACTTTCCTCCCTCCTAAAGGCAAAACAAGACGCAGACACGTCTGCAAAGTGTGGGAAGGGCCCCGGAGGGGGGAGTGTGGCGCGGGGCGCATGCAGACCGGCGGTTGTCAGTTGTGGGTGCCTCACGTACGAATGCTCAGGGACGGCCTGATCCAGCCCGGCTGCAGCGGTCCAGTCCTTGGGAGAGGCACCCGCCACTGGCTCCCCCACCGCACGCTTGGGGGCCTCCCTCTCCGACCCCGCACTGCACACTGTTTTCCAGGCTGAAGATCATCAAAGAGAAGGCCCTGCCAGACATCGAGAACTACATGTTTGAAAAGCACGACCAGCTCCGGCAGGCGGCCACGGAGTGCATGTGTAACCTCGTCGTCAACAAGGAGGTACTGCAGCCACCCACCCCGGCGCTGCAGGCTCGGCTCTCCCAGCTGGGTGGCTCCCGGAAGGACTGGGCTGACACTCCCAGATTCCCGCAGCCGGAGGCCGCCCCACCGGGCAATCCTCAGCCAGCCAGTTTTGCCTGTCTTCTGCTGGCGCGAGCCTGTCTGGTGTGGAATGCTGGGGGGCCCAGTGGCCCGGCCTCCTTCCCTGCCACCCCCTTTCCTCCAGGCCTGCCCTTTGTGCAATTCCCCCTCCCCCTTTATAAGGCTGAAATGCCTCTCCCAGCAGCAGGAACAACCAAGTTGCTCCAGGCTGATATTCCGGGTGGTCAGCCCTGCTCCTCGCCTCCTCAGGCCCCTGGGTGAATCCCCCACTCCTCCTCTGCCAGGTTCAGGAGAGGTTTGTAGCGGATGGGAATGACAGGCTCAAGTTGGTCATACTCCTGTGCGGGGAGGACGACGACAAAGTTCAGAACGCGGCCGCCGGCGCCCTGGCGATGCTCACAGCTGCGCAGAAGAGGCTCTGCTTTAAGCTGACGGAAGTGGTAAGGCCCGTTTGCATTTCAGCACCTGCCTGTGGGTTCCGAAGTGACTTTTGTCACCAGAAACAGCTCTGCGGAGGCATTCTGGGACTCCTGGCGAGCCCAAACACACGGGCAGCAGGGTGCGGGTGCAGGCAGTCCTCAAAGCGGCACAGACCCAAGCCAGTCGGGGCTGTAACAGTTCTGGCCGAGTCCTTGAACTGGGCCTGGAAACTGGCTGGCACGAAACCGGCGGAAGCCTTCAGACTTCCCGGCCCCAACAGCCTCTGGAGGGAGGCGCACCCGGGACCTGCTGCAGCCGGTTCCCAGAATGTCTTCAAGGGCTGCCCCATGCCGCAGCTGGGACTTTGCTGGACGTAGTCAAAGCTGGAGCTTTTGAAGGACACTCCTGCTAGTTAGGACTTCCCTAGAGCTCGACTGAGATGAGAAAGGCCCACAAGACGTGTTCCTGCTACTGGCAGGCAAGGGCCAAAGGTAGATCTTCCACCGCTTTGGACTTCTGCTTCCACAAGCCCCTGCCAAAATTGCCGATAGTTAGGAATGCTGGGAGCGCAAAACATCTGGAGATCCGTTTTCTGCTCACTTACCTTCCCCTGCTTCTCACCACTTTGAATGCATCTGCAAAGTCCTGCGGAAGCTTTTTAGGGCCACTATGCCATTAATTAGAAGTTTCCCTTTTCTGGCTTCTTTTTCTAATTGCTGCCTGCTCAGCACAGTTCAATTAGCAAAGAGTGGGGGATGAGAGGAAACTAACAAAGCCTGAGGAAGAAACCAGAGACTGAGTAATGCCTCACTATTGCAGCCCTTCACAGGAAACAGAGGCAGAAGCAACAGAGTTATGGAGGGCTTTTACTGAATGTGTTGTACTGATGAGAAACAGCAACAAACAGAGCAAGTCAGAAGGGGTCCCGGGCCATCTAGTCTGACCCCTGGCTCCAGCCAGCTCTGCTCATGAAATACTGACTAGAAGGATCTTGGCTACAGGGAATAACTTTCTGGATAACCTGTACTTACACACTATGTAAAACAAATGTTTTCATTTTACATTTAGCTGGTTGCAGAAAAACAGCCCTGAAAGTTCCTAGTGCGAAATCAGCTCAGTTAGTAGATAAAATCTATTCCATAAGTTTTGAGGGTTACCTGTCTCATTTGCACTGCTCTGTTCTCAGATAGTAATACAGACACATAGAAACAGAGCGAGTCAGAAGGGGTCTCCTGGGCCATCTAGTCTGACCACCTTCCGTGGAAGCCCATTCCATATCCTGGGGTCCTAACCATCAGGAAGTGCTTCCTGGCATTCAAATGCAACCTGGGTTCCCTGAGCTTGGCTCCGTTGGAGCACGTCCTGCCTTCCTCTGCAGGGGAGAACAGGTCTCTGCCCACCTCCGTGTGACACCCCCTCACATACCTGCATGTCGCCAACAGATCCCCTCCGAGTCTCCTCTTCTCCAGGCTGAAGAGACCCAGTTCCCTCAGTCTCGCCTCATGCGGCTTCCCCTGCGAACCGGCCACCAACCTTGTGGCCCTTCGCTGCACTGACTCTCCAGCATTCTGTTTACACAGAGGGCCAGTCAGATGCCCAAAGGGGGGAAAGCCTCAAGCGGGACAGGAGTGCACCCATGTTCCCCAGCAATTGCTGTAGATAGATATACTGCCTCTGAGAAGGGGTAATCGTTATTATTCCATTTCTATTCCATCCAGTAGCCAGAGCTCTCTGGGCAGTTCCCCGCAATTCACAAACCACGGCACACACACAGGAATGCAATGCAGCATAAAATACAGAGGCAACGAAATGAGCACAGCCCTGCAGTAGGCACAATTTAAAACCACTTCAACAGCTAAAACAATGTCAGGGAAAACAGTCGTGGCCTCTCAGTCTGCCAAGTGCAGGAGCTTCACGGTGGAAATGCCCTAACCATCCCGATTCCTTTAGACAACCCAGTGGCTGGAGATCCTGCAGAGGCTGTGCCTTCACGACAGGCTGGACGTCCAGCACCGCGGGCTGGTCGTCGTTTATAACCTGATCCAGGCAGACAAAGAGCTGGCGAAGAAGCTGGTGGAGAGCGAGATGCTGGAGATCCTAACCATCATCGGCAAGCAGGCCGATGACCCCAGGAGACAGCACGTCCTCAACGTGGCCCGCGACTGCCTCGTGAAGTGCATGGATTATGGGCTGATCAAACCCGTGTCGCAGCCTTAGGGATGCAGAAGCCACAGAAGTCCAAGACGATGAGGACTAGAGACATTGTGTGTGTGTGTGTGAGGGCAAGGCAGGGTAGGGGGAGACTATGTATTGAATGTGCTTTAAAAAAAAGTGTTTCCACAACTTTGAGAATGGCACACCATACACAGCCATCCTGAGACACTACTTCTGTGAGGAAAGGCTCTTTCTGAATTGCTGATTCGTGGTCTTTGGAAACAGGAGTGGGATCCAACATCATTTTATTGATCCATTCTCTTCCTGCACTGTAGCCACAGCTGTCTGGGTGGTTAACAACAATCCAGAAAAGCATGAACAAAAATACGGATCACACCAAGTTTCGATATACAAAATTCAGTGCGATTTAAACAGCTAAAAACAATTGCAATAAAAAACCAGCTGTGTTAAATACTATGCAGTTCCTGAGAGCAGAAGGCACCCGTAACGTGGTGCCAAAATAGAGTTGGTGCCAGGAGGAGCCACAGTGGGGAAATCATTCCATAATTGGGGGTCACCACTGGGAAGGCCCTCTCTGTTCCCGCCGCTGACGAGCCTTCCTGGGTGGTGGCTCTTGGAGGAAGACTTCAGATGCCGAAGAGTCAGGTCATCAGGTATCAGGGTCCCAACCCATGTAGGGCTTTGTAGGGTAAATCCAGCAGGTTCAAAGCCGTGTGAAATATTTTTATAGAAAGTACGTTTGATTTTTAGAGGTTTATGCACATATTAAGCTCACCATCTATGTATTATTTTTGGCTTGTCAAAGGGAAAAGCTGTTTTTTTTATGTAGACTCACCGTTCCTCGACTGTAGTCACAGGCTGGTGGTTTAGTAATAAAAGGGCACATGGTTCTCCCTTTGTTCAGAACAAATATGTCAAATGTTTTTGCCTGGAAGGAAATGTGAGCAGTGGATTTACCTCTCCACAGTCACCGCCACACCGCACAGCTCCAAGCAGCGCTAGTACATGGAATGCATTTGCAAAGTGGGTGTCCCAAGCAAGCAGGCCCACCAAGCGTCGCCCACTCGTTTCTTTTTATTACACCCCCCCCCCCCCGTCCACAAGAAGCCTCCCCTTTTCCCCATTTGCTGGTGCTGGAGGGTTCACGGCCTTTCTGCCAGCGTACTTCATGCAATTCCTGTCTCATCCCATTACATACATCCAGGGCTTTTTTTGTCATAGAACGCATTCCAGCACCTTTTTCTGACGGATTTTTCCAATGGAGTGATTTTGAATCGCCTGCGGGCCGCTTGTGTGTCCGTGCTGATGGTGAGGGCGCTGCTCGGCTCGGGATCGGTCGTGTGGTCGCGCGCTGAGTGCTTACTGCCGGCAGCGACCGTTATGTTTGTGTGTGTGCAGAGTGACTGGCTTGCAAAAGGTAAATAAGTTCTTTATTTCAAAAAAAGTCGGTGAATTGAAAATCTTTTTTAGTGTAAAAGTGTGACTCCCAAGACGTGTTTTTTGGCATTTTTTTTTTTTTTTTTTACAAAAAAAGCACTGCATGCATCTACATGCAATGCACTACATGTGCATTATAATTAGCCCATTGTCTATTCAGGGCGGGTAAGTTAATATTCATCAATCTATCAGGCCTGTGTGCTTATAACTGCAAGTTTACTGGTTCACTCTTCTCTGACTTCACCTTGCCCCCCCCCCCCCGCAGTCCCATAAAACTACTGGGAAGGTGAGATAGGAAGCAGAACACTTTCTTCCAGGCCAATGACCCTTTTCGCCCCTCCTCATTCCTCCAGGCAGGCTTCAGGGCTAAACTAATGGCTCCTTCGTTTTTCCGTCACTGCGTTTCTTTTTCTTTTCAAGTTAAGTTACCCCTCTTGTGTGAACACAGGGAGCAAAACTAATTCTTAATTTATCTCAATGTCCTTCTTTCACCGAGTGAGTAAGAATCCAATGTTGTTTTCCACAATATCTTGTCCTGCTATAAGTTCTCAGCGTAGAAGGGTTGAATTCAGTGCTGTCCGAGTGATAGGAAGAAAACAGTTTTTCCTTGCCTGCTCCTTGTGCTCTGGCTAAGCTCCAGGTCTAAGCAAACGCCTCAGAGCGGGAGGTCACCCGCTGGATGGGTTGGACTACAACTCCCAGGATACCTCAGCAATTCGACGTGATGAATGCGGTGCTGGGCAGGGTGCACAGCTCAGCCGCTCACGAGGCCGTGCTGGGCTTAGGGCTGAGCAAGCACAGGCGGCTCAAGGCAGGAAAGCCAGAAGTGCGGGCGCTTTTGTGCTTACTGGGGACCAACGCCGATTCAAACGCCCGCAACGGCATGCATCGGTCTTTGGACTCTGCCCAGGCCCTTGGTCAGCCGACATTTGCGGGGTCCAAAGGAGGGGGCGGTTTATCTGGTGTGCCGGCCTTTTATTTATTATTTATTAAAACATTTCTATGCCGCCCCTTGCCGAAGCCTCGGGGCGGCTCACAGCATAAAATACAATAAAATACAAAAATAACAATATAAAATTAACAATATAAAATAAACAACAATATAAAAGAAGTCGCCCTGGCCAGACAGTTTTCAAGACAATTTTAGTCTATTGTTGGAGAGAGTTGGACTGGAGACGTGGCAGGACTGGGCTCTAGTCCCTACTTCGCCACGAAGCCGGATGAGTGGACTTTCAAGCTAATCTACCTCACAGGGCTGTTGTAAGGATAACATGGAGAGAAGAATTTCGCAAGCCGCCTTGAGTTCCTTGAGGGAAGAAGAGCGGGGTATAACTATAATAAAGCAATCGCAAATACGTAGATATTTGTTAGAAAAAATGGACCCATGCCCAACTCCACCCCTCCCCCCATTCCGTGGAAAGTGATTTCTTAGAAAGCGAGGCGAAGAACGGGAACCCGAAGTATGGTGGTGAGCAGAAAGCGCTTGTCTTACGTTTCCTCTAGAATCTGTCGCGAAGGGGCGGGGGCGGGGGAGCGACAGCGTTGCCTGAACCTTTGCGGGGAGTGTCACCTGACCTGACTCCCGGAGCTGCGATTGGCCGGAGGCAGAGTGAGGGCAGAAGCTTCCGTGGTCGCCATTTTTTCTTTAGGCGAGGGGCTTTCTGGGTGCTGGAGGTGAGACGCGTGGAGAGCGGGGTAGTTGTGTGAATGGATGAATGCCCGGGCTTGGGAAACGGGTGGCCATGAGGAGAGCGAAAGAGCAAAGGAAAGAAAGGAGGAAGTAAAAAAAGTAATAGGAGGAAATTTCACTTAAATTAAGACTTCAGCCTGGCGCCCTAGTGGGGGAAGCTATTTGGCTGTGGATGGTGGCAGCTGTAGTCCAAGCCCGTCGGAAGTGCCTGATCCTGCCTAATCTTGGGAGCCAAGCAGTGTCACCCTTAGTTAGAATCTGGATGGCGGACTCGAGTCCTGAACTGAGCAGGGGGTTGGACCCGACGGCCTTCCAGCTGCATGTTTCCATCATTCCAAGGTGTCTGAAGAGCGCCATGCTAGAGTGGGGAGGCTGGTTCGCCCCACAAAGGAGGTGACATCTGGCCATGAGGACTAGAAGCCTTGACAGCCTATGAAGGTATCCAGACCCCTTTCCAGGCCATCCAGACTGGGGGCCATCCCTCCTTGAGGCAGTGACTTCCATGCGAGATAAGCCGAAGGCGATGATGAGTCAAGTCTAGTCTGACCTGGTATTGCTGCAACGTCCTGGCTCTGACCAGGACGTTTTGGCTCTGACCAGGACGTGATCACGTAATCTTCTCTCTGAGCAGATTTTGGCTGTCTTCGTCAGGGTGCACTGTTCCCCTCATTGTTGGCTTTTAATCCTCACAGGGCCATTTACCACTGGTGTGTCCTACTACAGTTCATCAGCCCTTTTTGTGTGTTGTGTGTGGGTAGCAAACCATGGTTTCTTAACACAGCTGGGTTCACACAGCCTACAAAGTGATTCCAGCAGTGGGTTGTATTAGCTGGGATTAATTGTCCCAGGGATGTGAGTGTAAGCTAACCTACTGAACGGAAGAATGGGAAATGTCAGGTGTCCAGCTAGTGAGGCTTGGGCCCAAGCGCAAAAGGAAGAATATGCTCTAAAGAGAGGAAATCCATTCCTTGGTATGGTGCTGCAGCAGATCATTTAAATATCTGCAGTTAGGCAGATTGGAGAAAACTTCTGAATGAGACCGCAAGAATAACAGAATGTTCCCAGGTAGGACAAGCCATCTTGCAAAATCCAACGGCTGCAGGCCCGCTGCTAAGGACGCAGGGAGAAGGGTGTGCTTTGCTAAGATCAGAGTGTTGTCCTGGATGTTCCAGGGACACATCTGGAGGATCCCAGAATTGGCAGCTGGATACCATGTGAATGAGTCACTGAATGCACCCGGCTCAGGCGAACACCTGCTATCAGTGCTCAGTTAACGTACTCGCTCAAATATAAAGAAAGGATTACTCATCTTAGGGTTGAAGATAAATGGTCATGGCTAGTTTCTTGTATGGTTGCCTTCCTGAAACAGTCTTTGGATCCAGGACAAACCCTCTCAGCCAGAAAAATGAAGCTGGCAGTATGAAAGGACTTCGAGAGTGACTGGCTTTTTGGAGGAGGAAGGAGCCGTGTGAAGCTGCCTCCTTTCAAAGGGGGGAAATGCACAAGCACGCAGCCTCCACGGTGTACGGGTGCAAAGGTCACGCAGCAGCTGGCCTGAAGGGCTCAGTGACTCAGTGAAGGACGGGACATGTTGGCAGGGCAAGATCATGGGGATGGATAGCTGGAGCCTCGGGTTGGAGGCATCCACGGTGCGCCAGTTTGAGGAGGAGCTGGAATGTGCGCCATTCTGTTTTAGTGCATCTGTACCGAACATGTGTAACAACATGTATTAACCCTGCATTAGGTGGGAAGGCAGCCCCCACACATCTTCTGCTCTAAGCAAACGGGCTTTTCTTTTCATATTGTTTCCAGATTCAGTTTCAGCATTATTGATGGATAAAATAGAAGTTCTGCCGAGCGCAACCCTTTGAGAATTTCTACTGGCCAACCCTGTTTTAACCCAGTGCCTGAAGGGACATCAGTGGCTGCAAGGCGCGTTCTCAGCAAAGAGGTGGGTGCTGGGAATGGTAAAGACAAGAATCCTTCCAAAGAAGCCCTCAGACGTTTCTGGCCTGCAGAACTTTGTTCACGACTCTGCTGGGAGCATTTCTACACCGGCTGGGCCCTCACTCCGTGGCCAACATGGAAAAATTGGCCACTATTTTGGCCACACTTGGTAGGCCAGTTAGAAAAAACCCTTCTATTACTTGTCTTTTCAGCATTAATTGCAATGCAAATGAGGCCAGTCTGTCCTTCTGAAAGCAGCATTGACCGAGATTGCCATGAGAGGGGCACAAAAGTCTCTAATTTGCATACATGAGAAGCAGCAAAAGAGAGTGTTTTCCCGAAACAATTGATGCCCTTTTTTGCGGGGGGGGGCGGGCGGGCTTGGTAAGTGGCACTGCTTGTGGGTTTGTTTTCTTGATCTGTACAAAACAGAAGTTGCTGAATTTCATAGAAGTTTTAAGAATGTAGTCAATTGTTTATTCGGAATAAAGGGTTTCTATATATTTCAGAGTTCTGGCGTTAATGACAACACAGTTCAGAAGGGCGGCTGTCTGAGCACGGCATCCCGGCAGAGCTCACCCGAGCTTATCTGGCCCTTCGACATGCTTGTTCACCCTCTAACACATTTTGAAGAGTTAGTGCTGGCCAGATGCTGCTGCTCTTCGCATGGGAATATCTAGCTATGTGCTGTTCCCCAAAAGTACCCCCGAAAGGACTCCACGGACAAGTCGCTTGCTCATGTACCTTCTCCATGAACAGCTTCCCAGAAAGGAGGGCTGCCCGGTACCTTGTTCTGCGTGTTGCTGCAGGTGCAGAAAGTCTGGGGACGTGCCGCTGGAGGAAGAGCCACTCGGCTTCTTGGCTCGCACAGCCTCCTCAGGCAGAGCTGCCCTCGTGGTTCGGGTGGAAAGTGGAGCGCTTGGTGCTTCGGCAGGGCGTCTTGCACCGGGCGGCACGAGGGAAACACCTGCCGGCAGGCCGCCGAGGCGGGCCCTCGTCTCCCCTGGCATCGGGGCCGACGCCACCCAGCCTCGCCCGCTCCTGTGCGAGCCGGGGGTGCTGAGCGGGAGGCGGCGGCGAGAGCGGGCAGGACCGGAAGAGGCTGTCGGGATGGTCTCGCAGCATCTTGCACCACCCTCCCACACAGAAAGGGCCCCCGCGGGAGGAGGCTGTGGCCAAGGGCACCAGGGGGCCCTTCCTCCCTCCAGCCGGCTGGCTGGGCACAAGGGGCCTCTAGAGAAGCGGTGGAAAAGTGGGAGGAGAGGGAGCAGGGCTGGGCTGGAAGCCCCGAAGGGTCGAGCTGCGCCTCGACAGCTCTGCCTCATGCTTTAATTGCATTCGCCTCGCAGGGAAGCCGCCACGAACTCGGCCGCATGTTGTCCTCACCACGTGAGACAGCCAAGCACTTTACTGCAAAGTTTCCCAGCTGCTGAAGAACAGAAGATAATTAGTTGCACAGAGTAATGAGACAGCCCTTGTTTTCCACTCCTTCTCGGCGAGGCCCCCGAACGGTTCTTCCACAGAAGACTCGCAGGGAAGCCTTCAGGATTCCCGGCACGAGGGTCCACCGCGGAACGGTGCCCCCACGTCCCCCCAAGAGGGCTGTTCTTTCCCCCTCTGGCTATCCTGCTCGGCTGATCTGCCCTTGCGAGATTAGCTGAGCGGGAAAGCAAGAGTTCCAGGCGGAGGGGGCTGCTTGGCGAATAGCAAGGCTGAGCAAACTCTTAGAGGCCACCTGACCTGCTGGAACAAAGCAAAGAATCCAGTCACGGGAGGCCCGCCTGCAACCGCAGCTGACGCTCTCTGCATGCGCGACGGAAGAGCTCGGGGACAGGCGCCGGCCAGCGCACCCCTCAGTTTTCCGGCGTGTACAGCTTGACGAGGTGCTGCAGTTCCGTGGCGTAGCCGGTGACGGGGCACCGCTGGTGGCGCTTGACGTGGTTGTAGGCGCAGCGGTAACAGTAGACGAAGCCGGACGTGGAGAGGGCCGTGTCGTTGGAGCGGATTTTGCGGCACAGGGGGCACACGGTCCTGAGCCTGGGCAGGAGGTGGGCGTCAGCTCCCAGGTCCAGGTGCAGCGGGGGCGGCGGGGGCGGCAGGGCAGTCAGGGATTTGATGGCCTCCTGGTTCTCAGAGGAGTACCACCACTCCAGAAACTGGAGGAAGAAGACGCTCATGGAGAGGCCAGTGGAGAGGGAGAAGGCCAGCCCGTGCCAGGCCTTCCGCAGGGCGAGCCACACTCGCTCCGTCACGCTGCGGGAGGGAGAGGGAGACAGGAGGCATGAGCTGGCGTGCTTTCCCTGCGCTTGGATTCCAGCTGGAGCTCAGCTGTGGCTGAAATGCCGTCTGGATTCCCAGACACGTCTCCCCAGGGATGCATTAGCCTGGCCCTTAAGTGCGCCATGCAACAATTTTAACAACCGTGGCCACCCTCATCCTTTTAAAGCCGCCCTAAAGAGGGGTGGCCCAGAGTCTCGGAGCCATGAGAACCTGGGGGAAACCACTCCAGTGAAACAAGCCTCTTTCGTCCATGTCGTCTCCGTGATCGAGAGCCTTAAAGTTTGGGGCACGTGGGCCGAGCCTCCCCCAGTTCCCAGCAGCAGCTCTCCCAAAGCGGAGCTGTCGCCGCACTGCACATGGCGAGCGGCTTCACCCTGGCACCCCCAGGTGTGTTGGCGTCCCTCAGAACATCAGCAGAACCCCGCTGGATCAGCCCGAATGCACCGAATCCAGTAACTCGTTCATGCACTGGCCCACGGGAAGCCCCCACAGCAGGCACAGCAGCGGCAAAATGTCCCACCCGTGTTCCCCAGCATCTGGCCCTGGAGGCAGCACAGGGCCCAGGGACAAGTAGCACAGACACCTCCTCCAGGGATGTGTCCAGTCCCCTTCCAGCGCCCTCCCGGAAGCGACCTCTATCACGCAGCTCCACCCCTCCTTTGTGTCCCTGGATCTCCCACGGATTTATGGGATGGCCCTGTTGGGCTGCAGTAGGGCAGCGAGAGAAAAACGGCTTCCCCGCCCAGTTCTCCACAGCGGGGCACATACTGAGCGCTCCCCTCGTGTCTGCCCTTCCGCACATTTTGGCTAGGCGAAATGATCCCAGAGGCCGTAGCCCTTCCGCACAGAGAAGCGGCTGCAGCCCTGGAGCATCTGAGCTGCCCTTTCCAGGGGCTCCCACAACGCTCCCATCGGCCACACTGCGTGGTTTTAAATGCCACCACTTGACCCATTGTGCTGATCAACAGAGGGCGCTCCGGCGGTGTGAGTGGTGCTATGGAGTGTGTTGGTTTCTGTTCCAACTCACCTTCCGGACGCCTGTGGGGCCGTGCGAGCGGCTGCCAGTTTGTCTTCGAACGCCTGCATGTCTGCGCCCGTCAGCCTGACCAGCTGCACGCCAGCCAGCTTCAGCAGGGGCGAGTGGTGCTGGGCACCCCCCAGGATGTAGCACAGCTGCTGGGCCAGAAACCAGCCTTCCCAGGCCAGGTTCACGAAGGGATAGGCGGCCAGGAAGGCTCGATAAAAGCGCTTCCAGCAGGACCTCGGAGGGTGGATGGAGTAATCTTCCTCTTCCTGCAGGCGGGAGACCAGTTTCTCCAGTTTGGTCCTCAGATAGGGAACAAAGACCAGCAAGCAAAGGGATTTCCAGTGCTGCCTCCGTGGCAGCCCGGCCGTGGCCAGCCGCCCTGGCCGCTTAGCACCCCCACCTCTCAGAACGACTCGCTTCAAGCCATAGATGTTTTCAGGAAAGGAGGCGCTGCAGCTGGAGAGGTAGCTCTGTTGGAGCAGCAGGTCTACGAAGGCGTAGATTTCATCAAACCAGCGCCAGAGGAAGCCGTAACGGCCAGGGTTGGATTCGGCCAGCACCTAAGACGGAAGACAGGCAGCCTAGCGTGTGCAAGGAAATCCACCAGCCACTTCCTAGGATCCTTGGCCTGGGTATGCCCCAGAACACAGCTTTGCAGGCAGAAAGCCCCTGGTTCACTTTGGAATGAGTGGGGAAACCCTGCACAAGAGCCAGAAAACCACCAGTGGGAGGCTTTTGGGAAAGGGGAATGCTCATGGAGTATTCTTGCCAGAGAAAACGTATGTCTAGGATAGAGCAGCAAGCTCTCTGTTTTCCACCTACACCTTTCCCCATTTTCCCACACCTGGCCATTAGGGGACCTTTGGGCGAATGCTGAGAAGTCGCAACAGCCCCCATAATGACTGTTCCAGGGGCCTTTCTTCTTACCTTGGCCACGTGCTGAAGCGCAGGTCTCACTGCAGACATCAAGCTGTCCTGGGCGACAACTTCAAAGATGGAAGGTCTGTCCTCGCAGGTGGAAGCAGCGGTGAGGTGCGCCCCACGCTCTGCCATGGCCTCGTCTGGGAATTTGCAAGAGTTATGCAAACCCTTTTGCAAATAAAACAGTTTGTTACCAGAATCCTTTCTTATTAGGACTCCAAGCAACGTCACCTAGATGGAGGACATTAAGGCCTCTTGGAGTATAAACCGTTGTTGGAGACTTCCCAGTGTTTTGGGGTGACTGAGGCATAGCAAGTTGTTAGTCCTTAAGATTGACAAAGATGCAGATGTATTTTAAAATGACAGACCACAGCCTTGAATTTACAAGAGCTGAGCAGGATATTTTGGTCACTGAATCACCGTAAGTCGAACGGCACAATACAGAACCAATGACATGGAATCCGGAGGGCCTGGATGGCTGTCGGCCAGTGGCTTTAGATGTATACCCCCCTGGGATGGGGTTGTCGCCATTTGTGCGGTCAACTCTGCAGCACACAAGTAGCAAAGAGGGTGCTGGCCCAGCCCGGATCCGTAAGCCGAAAATGGGAAAAAGAAAACGGAATTAAGTGATGCGGGGGGAGGGGAGGCGTCCAAAAAACTTGTCTTAAATACCGGATGGAGAAACCTGGCATGCGACCAGATGTTGCCAGGGTGCATCTCCCATCAGGACAGCCATTTGGCAGGGATGATGGGAGTTGTAGTCCAGCAGCATCTGAGCAGCGCTGCTTTCCTATTTTACCTTGGAGGAGCGTGCTTTATTAGGACATGGTTAAGCACCCACCAGTTGCGTTTAGAGAAAACTCCGAGCTGGACCCCCATTTCAAAGGGGAAGGGGGTGCAGGACGTCCCCCTCCCATGGAGACGGGAAGCAAAGCCCGGGGGTCTTCAGTTCGACACCCCTCGCCCCGCCCCCTACCTCTGCCTCCTTTCGCCTATGGCCTCATTGTCTGCGCCGATATCCTACCGGAAGTTTGGTGCACTGAACTACTCCATTCCCCTACCGGATATCCAGAGAGCCATAGAGCTAGGGCGAGCTGAAGCGGGCCTATAGGAATAGAAAGAAGGCATTCGGAGGGGGGACTTCCGGAGAAAGCCGCCATTGGCGTGTGAGGAGGCCGCGCTAGGGCCCGCGCCTCTATGTTCAGACCCCTTTCCCTCCCGCGTGCTTCTCTCCCCCGCTCAGCACCTCGCGCCGGCGGTTACAAGTATGCAGGAAGGCTCCGTTTTCCGGATCGAGAGACGGCGCCTTCTGCGTATCCCGCGCAGGTAAACGCCATAGTAGCATTAGGTAGTGCTCCTCTTTCCCTTCGTTTATCTATGGATTCCTGCTAATCCCGCCGGAAGCGCTGCCGCGTCGCTCTAGCCCGGGGCCCCATGCGCCCCTCTCTCTGGGGCGCTCTAGGCAGGAAGGCGTGGCAGGCGCCGTTGGTCGGTCCTCCTGGCCAGCCCGGTTTCCGGCCGCCTCCCAGCCAGGCAGTCTTCGCGGCTCGCGGCGGCCGCTGCTCCCGACGTCCCCCCGCCCGCCCGCCCGCCCGCCCGGTTGGCCCCCCCCGCTTCTCCCCGGATAGGCTCCCCTCCCCGGTGAGTGGGGGAGGCGCCTTGGCCGGCGGCCCCGCCCCCAGGACGAGTGGGGGGCTCGAAATGTGTGTGGGGGGAGTGGAGCGGACGGCAGGCGGGGGGGCTGGCGGGCCAGATGCGGGCCCCCCTCGCCCCAGAGTGGCAGAACGGCTGGCCTTTGTTGGGGGTGGCCTGGCAGGAGACGGCCACGAGGGGGAGGGGGAGTCGCGGGGGGCTGCGGAAGAGACCCCCAGAAGCGTCACCGTGGCCTTCGATTGCGGGAGGGGTGGAACAAAGGGGTGTCCGCCCGCCGCTGCAGATTAGCAAGCCTTTGTTTAAATCCGGGGGGAGGTCTGTTCTGGGGCTCAGCTGGCTGCTGGGGGAGAGGAGGGCGGGGGGGCATTTGAGGAGCGTGGAGACCCTCCTGGGGTGCTGCAGGAGGAGCTCCTCCCGTCATCCTCACGGGACATGGGGGCAGGGTGGGGCCCGAGGTTGGGGGAGGGGGCAGGACAGCCCTCCTCGCCCCCCCCTTCCACCTTCTTCCACAAGCGAGCCTTCGACCCCAAGGGGAACACAGCCCGAGATGGGCAGTGCATGAAACAAAGCGTGGCAGAGACCACCATGGGGAGACTTTTAAATATTTTTTCTGGTATTCTGATGTTGGGGGAGGGGGCAGGACAGCCCTCCTCGCCCCCCCCCTTCCACCTTCTTCCACAAGCGAGCCTTCGACCCCAAGGGGAACACAGCCCGAGATGGGCAGTGCATGAAACAAAGCGTGGCAGAGACCACCATGGGGAGACTTTTAAATATTTTTTCTGGTATTCTGATACTGCATTGTATTACATTTTGGAATTACTGTATTGCATTTTTGTCATTTTACACAGTCCATAGTTTTTATGGACTTTGTAAACTGCTCGGGGAGCTTTGCCTGCAGGTTGGGATAGAAATGAAAGGAACGCATAAATAAATACGTGCGGCGGGGCGGGGGAGGCGCTTCAGCTGTGGGGGGGCTGCTTTGGGTCTTCCTGGGGGGGGCTGGAAGGGGGGCCGAACAAGCCGTGGGGCAAGAAAGAAGCATTCAGTTCAGCAGGTGTGTTCCTAGGGGGCAGCACGAGAGACGGCAGAGGTGGAACCGGTGTTCCAGGATGAGGGGCAGTGCCTCCGAGGGAGGAAGGGGCTCAGCACTTCCACCGGGGGCCTGGGGGGGCCTCGCTGGTGCGGAGGGAATGAGGGTTTCTCGAGTGGCGAGTGGGGGGAAGACGCAGCAACCGCCGGCCAGGGCAAGGGGCCGGGTGGGGTGCCTTGGAGTGGCCGAGCTGACCCCAGAGAGGGGTGGTCTTCCGAAGTGGGCCAGCCTTCCAAAGGCGGTCTGGTGATGGAGGCAAGGAAAACTGGCCCCTGGCTAGCAGGCGTGAGCAGGGGCGCGGGGGGTCTGCAGCGTGGTGTCCAGGGGCACTTCTGGCAGCTCCCAATTCCCAGCCCTTTAGAACATTTTTATTAAAAACGTTGGAAAATGTTAGTGTGGCCCTCTCACTCCCTCTTTTTCCTTCATTTATATGTTTGTTTATTTAAAACTTTGGTATGCCATCCCATCACAGACGTCTTGGGACAGTTCACAGCAACCATAATATGACAGAATAACAATGGAAGTAAGAATAGCACGGCATCCAGTATTAGGTATAAAACCACAGATTAAAACAAATTCGCATTTAAAATATTGGGAGAATAAAAAGGTTTTCAGCTGGCACCAAAAGGAAAGAAGCGTTGGCAGCAGGCAGACCTCTCTGGGGAACATGTTCCACAGTCGGGGCGCCACCACAGAGAAGGCCCCTTCTCCAGGTAGCCACCATCCTAATCTCCTTCGAGGAGGGCTCCTGGAGCAGGACCCCTGCCTCAGATCTCCAGGGGCAAGAGGGCGCTCCTTCAGGTGTCCGGGACCCAAGGTGTTAAGGGCATGGCACTTTCTGCCCCACCGCTCAGCCCTCTTCCTCAGCTCCTTGTGGCTCTCCCTTCTTGCCCTGCTCTCCTTCCCCCCACCCCAGCTGTTTCTTCCCCCACCTCTTTCTCTGGCTCGCCCTCACCCAGCCTCCAGCATTGCCTTCTCTCTTCCTCTTCTTTAATTCTCTTCGGACTAGCCAGGCCCTGTCACAGCCATCGCAAGCGTATGCTCAGTGGGTGCCATTTGTGGTGGGGCCACTGCAGTGTCCCCCCCCCCCATAGGGCAGAGAGGTTGGGGAGCCTCGACATTACTGATTAGAACCTGGAAAGGTGCTCGGCCAGGATCCCACTTGGGTTCCAGCTTTGCTGTCCCACGCTGAGTCGGGGCAAAGGCAGCCCTGTGGGGCTGTGAGCGGTGGGCGAGTTGTCCTGAAGAGCTTTCCGGGGGTGAGGTGGGCAGAGCTTTGCGAAGGACAATATTGAGCACCTGCCTCGGAGGTGGACACAGAACAGGGAAGAGATGGAGCTGATCTCACGCTGCGACTCTGGCAGCCCCGATTGCTCTCGGGTGCAGGAACACCATCAACACCTAGAGTTTGATTTAAACCAGGGTGGGCAGCTTCTCAGCCACAGCACTCAGAGGTCCACAGGCAACCGCTCCTCAACACTGACCTGAGTTGTGGCCCTGTGAATCGGCCAGCCTACATGTTGCCCGCCCCACTTTAAACTTCCTTTCCCGAACACTTTTGGTGGGTTTCAAAGGAAGACTCAGAGGCCTCGTTTGGACCAGAGTCTTGCTTGCTTGGCAGGCACGCAGTTTCAGACCAAGCTTGGCTGAAGCTTCGGCAGAGCCCAGGGCGTTGGCTGGGAGTGATGGAAGTCGTCGTTCCCTCCATCCAGAGGACTGCAGTCTGCCCCAGGAAGCCACTTCGGATCCCTGCTGTTCACATTTCTGGGCCTGAGAAACAAGAGCTTCCCCATTCAAAGGGCATTCCACATTTCTGGGCACCAGTGTCCAGTGTTGGGGTTTGGCATCATTTTAATCCCCAGCATTGTGCATAGCAGCAAAGGGGCTGGTTTGGATTCACACTTGCCTGTGCTGTGAGTCTTAATTTCCAAGTATATGGGGGTAGGCTTTTTGCTTTGGTTCTGTCTTGCTGGCCCAGTTCTCTGCTTGAGCTGATGGGTTTTCCTCCCTTTCTGCTTTCCCCATAAATGCATGTTTGTGCTTCTGCATTAACCAGGCGAGTTGATGTACATGTATTTGGGTATGTATGACATTTGGAGTGCATTTCTTGACGCTGATGAATGATACATCATTTGATAAGTAGGTACCCATGTGCCTTTTCATTTTCTTTCCTTGGTACATATTCGATACATATGCTTTGTGATTCATCCCAATGCAGAATTGCATTCTGCTTTTGCTTACTAGAAAATCACAATGAAAGTTAATTAAAACGGGGCTCCTGCTCCCCCCTGCCAAGGGTTGGGATTTTTTGGCAGGATGGTGCTCAGAGAGGTCACCCCGCTTTGATGCGCCAGCTCTTCCTTGCGCCAGATACAGGCTGAGCTGCTGGGGGCGGGATCCGCGATGAGGAGCCGCCACGTGGCAGATGGGCACGGGGCCTGGGCCAGCTGGAGCACCGTTTCTGCTGCGTGCGAGAGAGCCTCACACGAGTCCGTTCTTCTCCTGCTGGCTCCGAGAATCAGTCCATTCAGCTGAGGAGAGGGCTTGGTGGCGGAAGCCTCGCTTTAGAGGGCGTGAGTCAGAGGCTGGCTGGACTGCAGGAAAGCAGCACTGGGTCCCCCCCGGTCAGCCTTCCCCAAGCTGGTGCTCCCGGATGTGTTGGGTTGCAGCCCCCGCAATCCCCAACACATCTGGCAGCTAAATAGCCCCGTGCCTCCCCACAGCCTGGCAGGGAGAATCAGCCACCAGAAGAGGCAGTCCAGACCCCTCCAACTGGTCGGCCACCCTGCAGAAGGATGCTGGGCCCAGCACTTCCGCCTTCCGTGTCGCTCATTGCCACGGTCCCTGGCGTGCTGGATCTTCCTTCCTTCACTCTTTACCGGCGTCTGAGCTACAGAGAGGACCTCCGGAACCACGGGCTGCAGCCTCTGGGATGAGCCTGGGCATGGAGTGGCCCGGCCCCCTCCCCTCCCCGCCACGCACCTTTTCCCAGGTGCATTTCCATCCCGGAAGAGACACCTAGCGCAGCATTTCTGGGGCTTTGGCATCGGAGTTGGTAAAAATGTACCAACTTGGATGCTTAATAAATTTAAATTGTACTATAAATAATATGTTAAACTTTCCTGTTTCGCAGGTGATAAATTGGGTAACCTATTTTTCTCAGGTTGTCTTTTCGGGATGTATTTTAACAGGTTAGGGTCCTAAAAAGTAGCGGGATGATTCGCGTTTGCAGTGATGAAATGCTCTGTAGATCGAGTGCTTTCAGTCAATACAGGAAGTCAAGAACTAGTGCACTTATTTCCCATATTGCTATATAATTGAGGGAATTGAAGTCGAAGGTACCATAAATTGAGGAATTGGGCTTGGAGTCACAGGTTTTATGGACCAGCTCCACAGCCCTGGTTGTTTCTGCACCAGCAGCGGGGGGTCAGCACAGGGAGACAGCAGACCTCTGTGCTTGATCTCCAAAGAATCCCAATGAAGTCAAGAGGTCAAAGGATTGCCCTCTTCAGGACCCAATCCCACGCACCGTTAGGCAGAAAAATGCGCTTCTCCCAAGCTTCTGAAAGTATTTAATGGCAGAGTGGGAATTTCTGTCTGGTCTAGCTTGTACTGGAATGGTTTTAGCTGTTGAACTGCTCTAAATGTTGTGTGTTAAAACATTTTTTGCTTTATGCTGCTCTGTTTGCAGTCTGTGTTTTCTCAGCTTGGTTGTGAACTGCCCAGAGAGCTTCAGCTGTCGGGTGGTGTAGACACGAAATCGTAATAATATTCATGGGCAGAGTGGAGGCCCGGAGAACGCATTGTTGTTTTGTCAAGCTGTTCTAGCTTGACTCGCCATATCTTTCCGCCCTGAATGTGCACAGAGTGGAGGATCCAGGATCCAGCAGAAGCCGCACAGAAGCATTTTCGAGCCTGTTCTGGATCTATTCTTCTGCATTACCCCAAACAGAGGGGAAGCTCTGTTAAGTCTCTGTTGTTGTTCTCCTGCAGGTGTGATTGTAAGTCATGACGGACTCCAAATACTTCACCACCAACAAAAAAGGTTTGTTTCCTTGTCTCAGCCTGGCGTTGGTGATTGGGGCCGTAGCCGGGGAGAGGGGAAGCAGGTCTGGCCCATCACCGCAGCGCAGTCTCCTCCCGCCTCTGCCCCCTTTCCTCGGACCACACAGTTAGCGTCATGCTTTTCCATGCTACCCTGGAAGGAATCGCAATCTGAAAAAGGACCTGCTCCTTCCCCACTGAGCAGACGTGATGCTGTGCAAGAGGCGCGCATCTCGCTGTAGCCTCCCTCTCCCACCCGAGCGACCGGCCTGCCTGGAGCCCTGAGCCGTTTCTTGGGCCACCACCACACCCTGAGATTCAGAATCCTTTCTTCCGTTTCCTTTGTCGCTCTTGAACTTTCTGCCCATCAGCTTTTCATGGGGTGACTTTCATATTTCTGAAGCTCGGTGTTGCCCCGTGAAGCGGATTGGCTGTTGACTCAGGAGGGGCTTCACATGACCCTGTGAAGCCAAGCTCAAGGAACCCAGGTTCAGTTTGGATACCAGGAAGCACTTCCTGACAGTCAGGACCCCCAGGGTGTGGAATGGGCTTCCACGGGAGGTGGCTGAGGCCCCATCGGTGTGGGTGTTCAAGGATAGGCTGGGCATGCACATGGCGGGCATGTCGTGAGCGGAGCTGGCTGGAGCCGGGGGTCCGACTAGATGGCCTAGGAGACCCCTTCTGACTCGCTCTGTTTCTATGTTTCTATGACGGAATTTGTTGGTGTGCCGGATGTGGCCACTGTTGGCTTGCTGGGAAGGTTTCATGCGGAAATGATTATTCATACCTCAGCATTAGCAATGAGGAATTATCCACTTGATTCTTTACTGTACTTTTAAACTATCCAACAACCCAAGTTCTCTGGACAGTATAGTAAAAACAAGATACAAACACTGAAGCAAATAAAGATAATGCAGAATAAAACCAAGACAAAACCAACAGCAAAGAATATAACTTGACACTCGCAGAATTCTTAAAGTTTGTGAAGCGCAGTTCATCTGTCAAAAAATAAGATTCCTCTTTCCCAGAGGCTCACAATCTAATAGACATGGCATAAGAGGAAAACTGGATGGGGAGGAAAGAAGAAAGCAATAATCGCAGTGCCAAGGCTGGTGTGGGGTGGGTAGCCTCCCAGCAGCCCCTGTTCTCTCGGGAGATGGATGAGGCCTGGGTGTTGGAAGGCCGCTCCTTACCCTGGGTGTGAGCTTGCCAGAGCACTCTGGCTGTCCGCTGCTAGCAGAGTCCTGGCTCTGATCCTGCCCAGCCCTCCTTACCTGGCCTTCCATTTCTTTCCAGGGGAGATCTTCGAACTGAAAGCCGAGCTCAACAATGAGAAGAAGGAGAAGAGAAAAGAGGCGGTGAAGAAGGTCATCGCAGCTATGACTGTAGGCAAGGACGTCAGGTAACCCTTCGCTAGGCTGCCACGCCAGCCATCCGGAACATGCCCCACTGAGGGCTTACGCCTGAGAAGGAAGCGCTGTGGAAATGGCTAGAGGGACAACACTACAGCAAACGCACCAGAGATTCAGCAAGCATTAATATATTTAGCTCGGGGGACAGTGTCAGCTAGTGGTTAAAGCGTGGCTGACTGGAGAATGTGGGTTGTACTCCAGGCTTTCTGGAAGGAGCTGGGTTGGGGAAACTGGGCTAGAGTGTGGGGCCAGGACCAAGGGGAATCATCATCACAAGGCACTCCTGGAGGTCCTCCAGTCCGGCCCCCCACTTGATGTAGGCAGCAGCGCCCCAGTGGCTGGCAGTCTGGCCAGTCTTTGCTTCACTACCTCCATCGGAGCCGGAGCCACCGACTCGGACTGTCTGGTTGCGCTTTAAAATATTGTGGGGAGTAGACGAAGGGGGCAGGGAGATGAGCTTTTTTCTCCTTCTGCTGGTCTTATTTATTTATTAAAAGCTTTTCTATACCCCTGCAGAACGTCTTGGGACGGCTTACAACAAATAAGCAGAATAAAATGAACCCCACAGCATCCGACCATTGATATACTAAAACCCCAGTTACAGTCAAGAAAACATTAAAATAGCGGGAAAATAGAAAGGGTTTTGCCTGACACCGAAAAGAATATAACATCGGCGCCAGGCAAACCTCTGGGGAGCATATTCCACCGTTGGGGCGCCACCACAGAGAAGGCCCTGCTCTGCGGACTCCCTCCTGCTCTCCTTCAAGGACGGCTCCCGGGGCAGGACCTCTGCCTCGGATCTCCAGGGGCAAGAGGGCACATAGCGAAGGAGGCGCTCTTTCAGCCCCTTGTGTCTGAACCTTCCCACTTCTGCCACCTTCCATGTCGGAGGGGGCTGGTTGGTTGGCTCTCCCAGAAAGCATTCTCCTGAGCCCATCAAAAGGTAATTCCCACGGCTGCCAATGCTAATATGGCAGGTTTAGGAGAGATGGTCATGTTTCTCAGCACGGGCACCCAGATCACATCTCGTCATTTCTGGGTCCAGCCTGGAGCCTAGTTCATCAACGCAAGTCCATAGTGTAGAAGAATGTGGGGGGTGGGGGGAGAACAGCTTCCCGAATCGGGTGTTCTGCGGATGCTTAGGGCCTCAGCTGCCATCAGCCCCTGCACCGTCAGCAGTCAAGACTCCTGGGTGTTGTGGCCTGAAGCATCTGGAGGACGTGAGGCTGAATGAAAGCTTTGCTGGGGATTTGTAAAAGAGTGCTCCATGTAGAGAAAGTGGTGACAGCATTGTCTCATCTATCTCCTAATACTTGAATCCGGAGCCATTCATTCATTCATTCATTCATTCATTCATTCATTCATTCAATTTGTTTGCCGTCCTTTTGCACAGCCTCAGGATGGCTTACACAAATAAGGAAAATAAAATAAAACACAATACAAATAATACAGATAAAATCCAGATCCACCCTGGCTGCAGATTAAAACCTATATAGCTGATGTTAAAAGCTATTAAAATATTGTTGAAATAAAATGATCTTAGCCTGTTGCCGAAAAACAAATAATGACGGCGCCAGGCGGACCTCTCTGGGGAGTGCATTCCAGAGGTGGGGCGCCACCGCAGAGAAGGCCCTGCTCCGTGTGCTCACCCTCCTAATGTCCTTCACGGAGGGCTCCCGGAGGAGAGCCCCTGCTGCTGATCTCGGGGGGTGGGAGGGCAAATATGGAAGAAGGCGTTCCTTCAGGTACCCAGGACCCAAGCCATTAAGGGCTTTATAGGTGATAACCAGCACCTTGAATTGAGCCCGGACTTCGATGGGGAGCCAGTGAAGCTGGTAGAGGACTGGGGTTATGTGATAGGAACGCCCAGTCCCCGTCAGCAACCTGGGAGATTAACAAAGCGAAGTGAGGGGCAGGAGGGCTCCTTCGCGGGGCTCCTGGCTGGGAGGGTTCCGTGCCACGCGGTCCAGCAGCCACAGCAGGTGCCGCACGGGCTCTTGCTTGGCCTGAGGCAGCAGGGCTGCCCCTTTGCCTGGCCTGGGGGTATTCCTTTGGACTGGACTGCCCCCATGCCTTCTAGAAGGGAAGTGCTCTGAAGAGGGTGCAGCTTTTCTGATGGAAAGTCGGAAAAAGCCTCTGTTGAGAAAGCCCCCGTCACTCAGGGATGAGGTGCCTGCTTCTCGAGATGCCCGATCTGGCCTCGGGTGCTTCGGTCTAGGGGTGAATGAACATGTGGTTGTCGCGCCCATTGCCTTCTCGTTTTTGTCATCCAAGCTGGGGTTGCCTCAATCTTGGTATTGCCCCACTGGGCCATTTTTGATCAGGAAAAATGCAGACTTTGCCGATAAAGGGTGACCTTGCTCCGCCCCGTGGGTCGAAGCACGGCAACGCGGGGCGTGGAAAGAGCTGTGTGCTTGTGCAGATGTGCACCCTTGAGCACCAGCGTGGGTTCCAGAAACGGTGTGCCCCCCCGCCAGTCGCGCTCCTTCCTGCGTTATTGTTCAGGGTTGCAAATGGGGCGTGCGCCACGTGATTTGTGACGAGGATGAACATCGCCCTGCCCGCTGTTCAGAGGGCCTCGGAGAGCAAGCTGTGGGACTGTCGCTTGCAATATTGCCATCCGGAGCCTCGGTGAAGTATGGGATATAAAAACTTTAAATAAAACAAACAATTGAGGCGCCGTTCTCAGTCCGGCAGAACAGTCCACAAGGTGGCATCTTCCAGTTGTGCCGGATGACTCTGCCAGTCACAGAATCCTTCACACTTGAGAGGAGCACAAGTTTTTATGAATCCGACCCTTGGATTCTGCAGACGATGGGCTTTTCCTCATTTCCATATATCACAGAACTGCAGGCTGGGGTTTTGCATGTTTTTTGCATTCCATAATTTTCTGCAAGCTTAGCCATAAAGAAAAAGAAAAAATCGAAAATGTGCATTTGGGGGGGCTTGAGTATTTGAGAGGCATGCATGCATGCATTTTTGGGTGTACAAATTCGTGCAAATGTGGATTTGCACAAAACCCTAGGAACACACTGGGAAACAAAAAGTGCCTGACAATCCACAAAATGCCAATGCAACAGATGTTGCTAAGTCTCTGCATCCCTAGATGAGGTGATGGGAGTTGTAATCCGCATCCCGGGGAGGGGTGCCAGGTGGCCTCGCTGGTCTCCAAGTTGGTGCCCCAACCTGACCCCCCCCCATTTCTCGCCAGCTCCCTTTTCCCGGACGTGGTGAACTGCATGCAGACCGACAACCTGGAGCTGAAGAAGCTGGTCTACCTGTACCTGATGAACTATGCCAAGAGCCAGCCGGACATGGCCATCATGGCCGTGAACAGCTTCGTGAAGGTGACCTGGCGCTCGGCCGCCGCAGCCTGATGGTTTGCCCCGGCACAGCGGCCGCCGCCCCCCGACGGCGAGGAGTGGGGCCTCCTCCCGCAGGGACACCCGGAGCCCCCTCTGTCCTCGCCTCGCAGCCTTCCCCCTTTTCAAATGCCGAACCTCCTCGAGGAAACGGCCCTTCCACAGAGGCTGTGAGCGGGGCAGGTTCCACTTGGCTTGGGGCTTGGGCGAAGCTGCTGCTGTGAGCTTGGGCGTCGATGCACCCCCATCGCCCCCCCGGCGTCCTGGCACCACTGCACCCGGCCCTGATCCCCTCCCGCCACCTGCTCGCCTCCCCTTCTCTGAGGGAATCCCGACGCCTGGTGTCTCCCAGCAGCTGGCAAAATCCCTTCCAGGGAGGAAATCTGCCGTGCTGCCTGATGCGGGTGATGGAAAGGCGCCCCCCCACCCTGAGCACTTCTTCCCCAGGTGCTCGGGCAGAAAAGCACGTTGAATCTTTTGGCTTGTTCTTGGTGGAAAATCTAAAATGAAGGCATAAGATTTGGCCACATTAAAAGGCTGGCCATAGTCTAATCCATGCATCTGATCCAGACCTTTACTTCTGCCCCGTCCTTTCCCACTATTAGCAGCTCGTTTGCTTCTCTTGCACCCCCGAACACACACACAACGCAGCCCCTTCTTCCCCAAAGGCCTGCAAGGACTCTCTCCTGCAGCCCAGCTAAGTTCTGCTGTCCTGCATTGATGGCTCACCCAGAGAGCTTCCGCTGTTGGGTGGCATAGCAATGATATTAAGAAAATTGGAAGAATAGGAGTCGCAGCCCTCTGCAGCTGTCGCTTCCTGGGTAGCCGTTCGTGTCTGAACTTTTGGTGATGTCGGCCGTGGGACTTCAAGCATTTTTATGGGCCAAACTGTTCACAGTTTGGGGCCTCTTGGGAGAGAGTAACATTTTGCTAGTATAAAACTGCAGCCGAGCACAGCTTGCCTGCGTTCCCACTCCGGGGTGCTTGGCACCCCGTACTTCTGCACGGCGCCTCCCCTGTTCTCACCAGCGGCCTCTTTTCCTCCCCGTTTCCCCGGCAGGACTGCGAGGACCCCAACCCCCTCATCCGTGCCCTGGCCGTGCGCACCATGGGCTGCATCCGCGTGGACAAGATCACCGAGTACCTGTGCGAGCCGCTGCGCAAGTGCCTGAAGGACGAGGACCCGTACGTGCGCAAGACGGCGGCCGTCTGCGTGGCCAAGCTGCACGACATCAATGCGCAGATGGTCGAGGACCAGGGCTTCCTGGACTCCCTGCGGGACCTCATCGCGGACTCCAATCCCATGGTAACGCGCCTGCCCCCCCCCCCCCCCCCGTCTCGGCCCCTGGAAGAGCGCGCATGTTGCGCAGGCCACGCAGCAGGTTCGAGCCCCCACCCTGCGCCACGGTCAGTGGTTTCCTCCCCAGTGGGCAGGACGCTTCCCGGGTGGGGGGCCTGGGAAGGACCAGCCTTGCCTTGGCATCCGGGGGGGGGGGGGGCTGTGCCACCTTGAATGGACAGCATGCCTCTTCCACTGGATTAAGTGGAAATTAATTAAAAATAGCAGCCCCCCCCCCATCCCTGCAAGCCCCGGTTCCCTTTCCCCATTGCGAGGACTGGATCTGGCCTCCCTCCACCCCCAGGCCCATCTGGATCTCCCAGCTTCCCTTCCTGGCGGGGGGTGCAGGCAGAGGTTGCCCCACCCTGCCCGAGGGCACCCTGGAGTGGAAGGCCGTGGCAGATGGGTAAAGTCCCTCCCTGAGGAGGGCCCGAGAGTTCCTCTGGCCAGCCTTGTGGTCTTCCCAAGGGAATGGCACCGGTGGAATCCGCAGGTGCTCCGTTCCCTCTGCACTCCCCACAGAGTACACAGTGTCCCATCTGGCTTGCCACGGGCACCCCTCCAACGAGGCTCTGTGCAGGCACCCTCGCTGTGAACAGTGACGATCTCAGAAACGCGGCGTTCTCGCCCCCGGCTCCTCTGGTGAGAGAGCAGCAGGAAGGCTCCCGTTCTTGTTCTTGTGTAGCATTTATTTAACTATCCTCAGGGCCAGAGACAAAAGAATCTTTATCCCGAGAATGAGCAAGGGAAAGAACAGGGCCTCATATTAAAAGAGTGTGCATGTGTTTATTTTATTTTATTAATTTCAGCAGAGTAATTCTGCCAAACAGCAGCTCCAGCGAGTTTAAAGCAGAGGTGCAAAGCCTCGGACCTGGGGAGCAGTTCCAGGCCATGCCGCTCTGCTCCATCTCCCCAAGGTCTGGCCATCTCCCAGTTTTCCTGCAGTTCTTCCTCCATTCCAGAAGATTTGAAAGGCTTCCTCTCGGGCTGAGTGACCAACAGCAAGAACTTCAGGCTAAAAGACGTTTACCTCTTTTGCTTTGGCCCTGCACACCACAAGCCCCCCCCCCCCACCATGGAACCCATCCCGGGGTGGAAGGGCCTTCAGCACCCCCACTTAAAACACGCAAACGTAATCTCTGAGCCCTTCTTGGTCATTGCGGCAGGGCTGTGACGTCACCGAAGCCCCCGAGGCAAGTGGGGCTAGGAGAAGGGGCTGGAGGCAGGCGAGCTGGATCTTCATGGGGGGGCATGGAGGGCCTCGGGGGGAGGAAAAATGTGGCCCAAGAGGTAGGTAGGTGGCGGGTGCTGAGGGTCAGAGCAGGCCACCTCCCGAGCAGAAGCCACTCTGAGGCTCTCCGGTTCCTGCTAGCTTGCGGGGCGATCCGCCTCTGTCTTTCCTCATGAGCGCTTGTGCTTTGGGAAAGGACCCCCCTCCCCCACCCCTGTGTCCCACTTCCAGGAACATCACAGCACCCCCGCCCCCAAATCTAGCCCCCCCACCGACTCCACCCGGTGCCGCAGGCGGGGAGCGTGCCGGGCCGGCTCTGGCTGGGACAGGCCACAAGGGGGCAGTGCTTGACTGCCGGACGGCCGAGAATCCCACCCGGAGGGCAGCCTGAGCGGGTTTGGCCGCCGTCTCCCAGGAGGGCGTCCGCCCTGCCCTTCCCTGCCAGCTCTGCGGCACCCGCCCCGCACGAGTGGGCCTCGCGGGGACCCCCGCAGAAACCAGAGCAGTTCCTGTCAGTGGTGCCTGATGCCCCGGCTTCCTGGGCAGTGCACGAGTGACGTGGGGAATGCCCGGCCGCAGGCGGGTCCCACCCGCCTTGCTGATGGAGCTGCGTCTCCGGATCAAGGGAAGCGCTCTTCCCATCACGCCCTGCTGAAGCGGAACTGGCCCAGAGTCCTGGCTGCTGGTCACGGCAGAGAAGCCTTGCCTTGTCCGTGGGATTCATCAGGGCAGTCCCCTGTTTTCCTGCCACTGCTTCCATCTTGGTTTTCTCACTGTTGAAAAGCGTTAATAATAGGAAAAAGCTGGATTCTCTGCACGATGCCTTCCGGCTGCTGGTTAGCACGATCCTTCCATCTGGAGGCCCTCTGGCCTGTCCTTCCATCTACATCAGCTAAGCGGGTGCCTCCAGGAAGACCCTGCTGGGGATCTTGAAGAAATTCTGGGGATTGTTGCTAAAAGATCTGAAAGGCGGCAAGCTGGGGGAAGCTGCATGCAGGCGCGTCTCTGGCCGTTTTGTTAAACCAGTACAGGTTGGTCCATTGGTTGAAAAGCAGGGTTTCTTTTTTCTGCCATTTCCGTATGGACAAGGGTGTCAGGATGTAGAAGAAGCTTAGAGGGCACTCGGTGCTTTCTGTTCCTTGGATGCCATTTTTGGTTGGGATTAACAATTACCTGTAAAACTTTTCAGTTTAAAGAAAAGTTAAAGTTTGGTTGAAACTGGAAATACGTGGTTAAACGAATATTTCTGTGTCGATTGCTGAATTCTAAGTCAGAAATGCTGCGTTTGTTTGTGACTGAGGACTGGGTTGCTTTGCTTGTTGGAATGCCCGTCATCCCTGCTTTTCTAGCACGGCGATTGGAGAGGAGGGGAGGGCCCTCATCCGCTGAGGAATCCAAGCAAAGGCCGGGGAAGGTTCTTACAAGCAGTAGCCTGAACTTTGCCAGCACCGGTCTTGGACACATCTTGTGCCAAGGAATTTTATTTGTTTATTTCATTATTCATTTATTTAAAGCTTTCAGCTGTCAGGCTTGGGAGTGGGACGGTCTACCATAAAAACAATAAAATGAAGCATAGCATCCAGTTAGTCCAATAAAATAAAATCCACGTTAAAACCTAGCCAACCTTAAATAATGGGCAAATAAAAAGGTTTTAGCCTGGCACCAAAAAGAATGCAGAGATGGTGCCAGGCGGACCTCTCTGGGGCGCGCATTCCATGCCTGAGGCACCACCACCGAGAAGGCCTTTCTCCGGGTAGCCCCCCTCCTCATCTTCATGGAGGGCTCCCAGAGAGGGGCCAGAAGGCACGCAGGGAGGAGCCGCTCCTTCAGATGTCCAGGTCCTAAGCCGTTCAGGGCTTTATAGGTCACCGCCAGCATTTTGTAAGCCGTTCCTCCGGCCTTTTGGCTTCACCCGCCCAGCGCTTTCAGGCGGCAGTTTCCCAGAGGCCCGTGCGGTGCAGTTCTGCCACCTGGAAAGCTGCAGCCCCTGAGCAGCGCGGAAGTGCAGGGCAGGCCCTCCCACCCGGGAGCCTTTGCCCGAGTCGCCCCACAAGCGGCTTGGGATGGGAGGCCCGGTGAGGGCCCCGCGGCTCCCCGGGGCACTGCGCTGGCCACCTTTGCGCCCGCTGGCGCGCTCCGGCGACCCTGCCGGAAGCAGGGCAGCCTCCCGCCGGGCAGGAGGCCTGCCGCCTCTCCACCGTCAGCCCACGCCGAACGGGCTGCGCAGGCAGGTGCACGGGCCCGGCCCGGCCCTCCCCTCTGCACCCTCGCCCGCCCGCCGGCCGGCCAATCAGCTGCTGGCGCCGCGGTCCTTTCAGGCGCAGGCGCCCCCTTAACTTCCCCCGCCGCCTGCCAGGCGCCTGCCCGCAGCCTGTCATTCCCGATGCTGAACGGAGGCCGCGTTTTGAAAAGTGCCCATTCTCCGGGCGATTGCTCCTCCCGGCTGCGGCGCGGCGGCACCAGCTGTGTGTTCCCTTTCCCGGCAACGCGCCTGCACTAACAGGCGGCACTTGCTGGCTGCTGTGTAGAAAAGGGGGAGGAAAAATCCGTTCTTTCTGCTGCCTTTTGCTCTAACAGAGAACGCTGGTCCTGAAAAGCCTCTTTCTGAAAGGTTTCCACTTCTTTCTTTGGCAATTGCAGAGTGCAGAGAGAACAGAGCGATAGGTAATTGAGATTATTGTGATTTTCACCTTTGAGTAATTGTGTTCCCTTCCCCTGCAACAAACCATGAATAAACCAAAATGCAGGTAGGTATATTTTCATCATATCTTCCATTCCAGCAGATCAAAAGCTGACACCCCTCTTCATCACTGTTTTCGCTCAGTCAAGGTCAATTGGTACCTTCCTGCCTTTTGTGCAATCTCCCCCTCACTTGTTTATTGATTTATTAGATTTGCATCCCACCTTTTTTCTTGGAAACAGCTCAAAACGGTTTGCATAATTCTCCCCCTCCTGCCTTTAATCTTATCCCACAACAACCCTGTGAGGTAGGCTAGTCTGTGGCTGCCCCAGAGTCACCCAGTTGGCTCCATGGCTGAGCGGGGACTCGAACCCGGATCGCCTGAGACCGTTATGCCACACTGGCTCTCTCTCTGCATAGTTGAACGGCTTAGCTACTGACGGGGGGAGTTTCTAAGCGGCAGTGATGGGGTTTTAAAAACTCTTTTAGTCCCACGCTTTTGTCTTCGGCCCTGCCTCCTGCTGGGTCATACCTCTGAGGAGCTTGTTTGAAATTTAGTTCAGGCGTTGGGCTGAAAGCATTTCCCCATCCCTGCTTTAAAGGGTGTGATCACCATTGATTGGTAAAGGCCCTAGACCTTCCTGTCGGTGTTTAGATTCAAGATATTCCCCAAACTGTGCAGCTAGGATTTGAAAGCTAGCTGTGCTCGTGGGCTTGGCCACCTCTCAGAGGGTAGTGTGCGGAGCCTTAAACTCTGGGTCAGGGATGTGAAAGATCCCCTGCTCCCCAGTGGCTCTGTTGCTTCCCTGCTCGTCTTCTGCAGGCCTGATCCTGCACGGCCAAGAATAAGACGCTTTTACAACAGTGTCCTCTGGTACTTCGTACCTTCTGGGTTCTTACCACTTTGCTGAAGCCTTCCCCTTTCCAATCGATATTTCTAGGCAGGTCATATAACGCCTGATATTTTTCTTTTGTACTTGGTTTATGCGTGTACAGATTTGCAAACAATTCGAGCCTCTTAAAATAAGGAGGGCCTTCCAAGCTGAGCTGGCGGGAGATTTGTGAAGCCCACCTCGCTCAAAGTGGGGGAAGGCGGCCTGGGCCATCCAGATGTTCTGAGTTCGCATCTCCCATAGAGCCCCGTCAGCTGTGCAGCAGCTGGAGCCTGACATCTCTGGAGGCTGCGACAGCAACTCTTCAGGGTTTGGAGTGGAGGGAAGGGTTATCCCCCTCAGCTGGGGCCCAGGATCCTGATTTCCTTTGCCTCAACCTCCGCATCGCCCCAGGAACTGCCTTCTCTTCCAGGAGTTACATGCAACGACTGTGTTTTAATCACAGGCTTGTATTATGCTGAACCCAGAGCCAGCCAATCTGGCTGCTGGCCGTAGGTTGCAGATCAAGCCTTCATAGAAATGACTAACAAAAAAGAAACGGGCTGCGTTGGCTTTTTATAGAGCTTGGCTATTCATGTAATGCAACCGCGGTGGGAAGTTGGTTTTGAACCGATGTGAGCGGTCTAGCGCGCTCCTGTCCCTGTAGCTGAAATCCCCAGCGCTCGGGCCAGGGCCGCTCCCTGTGCACAGAGCTGGCTTCTGCAAGCAGCACGCTCCTGCGCACTGGGCTTCCTCCTCTGACCAGAGCTGCGCCCGTGGGCCGGCCGGCCGCCCCAGTTCCCCACACTCCGCCTTGGGAAGGCCCTGGCTTCCTCGGCTGCCCGCTGTGCTGCTCTGGCCCTGCCTCCTCAGATGAGCCTCCTCCTCCACGTCCGGATCCGGACCCATTCCAGGGTCTGGTTGACACTCCCCTGCAGGATGAGTGGGCCCTGTCCTGGCACTGCACTGGATCAGGTCCACGGCCTGTCTGATCCACTGCTGTCTGCTCAGGTGGCCGGTGATCCTGTCGGGTCCCGGGGAAGCAGTGGCTTGGCCCCAGAACCTCTTCAAGCCGGCGATGCTGGCCAGGCTCCCTGCCTCCAGATCATGCGTCCAGCCAGCCAGCATTCGCTGCCTCTCCTGCTCCAGCCGCAGCCCCCTTCCTCTCCCGGAAAGTATCAGGAGGCGAGGCGGGAGATGCGGTGTGCCACGTGGCGGGGCACGCTGCCCCATTGCCCACATTCCACCCTTGGTTTCGTTTCCAATTGGCCCCAGATGATAGCGAAGCAGCCTAATTGCTCCTCTTGCCCTGTGGCCCTGCTCCGCGCCTGCTTCTCCGCCGCTCTGTCCCCAGCCCGGTCTGGCCCTTCCCTTTTCGCTTGGTGGAGGGGGCAGGCCGCGTCCACCTCCCTCGTCAAGGCCCCGCGCTCCCTGCATTCTGCCCGTCTCGGTGGCTCGGGGGGGGGGAGGGGCTGCATGCCCCGTCCACAACCCCCCGTTGGCTCTTCACGGTAGCGGACAAGAAATGGCTTGGGAACCAGTGCCCCCCTCCTGGGACACGCCCAATGCTTTGTTTTGGGGGTTGTCACTGCTTTTATTTCATTTTTATTTCAAAGCCTTGGTTTGATGGCTGACCCACCCTGCCTGTTCTCCTGGGGTAAACGTGCTCTCCTGGGGCGGCTGGTGGCCTGTCCGTCGGCCACTCGAACCTTCTGGTGCCCCCACGGTGGTCGCAGCCTCTTCCACGCCTCCCTCGGCCAGGGATGGCTCGTCGCCAGCTTCTGCACCTGCCTGCTTTGGAAAGCAGAGGATCCGTGCCTGGCAGGAGGCACATTCAGGCCCCACTAGCCTGGAAGTGCTTTGTGCTGTGGCTTCCTCCCCTTTTGCCTTTGATCCCACCCGCTCCGCAGATCCCATCCCCAAGAAGGAAATTCAGCTCTTGGGCCGCAAAGGGTTCAATCCTCCGGTCCAGCCCGGTGCAGAAGGCACCCCTAACTCGCTCACGACCCCATGTTTGGGGTTACTTGCTGGCTGGGGCTGATGGGGGGTGTAGTGCAAGAGTATCTAGCAGTCACCAAACTGGGGAAAAGTCTGGGCAGGGTCTTGTTACGTGACATTCTTCTTGCCGAAGATGCAAGAGTTCGTTCCATCACTCTTTTGCATGAGAACCGTCTTTTGGACGTGGCTTTGCGCTTCTGTTCACGGATGCTTATGAATACCCTGTACTTTCTGTGTGAGTGTGTGATGGGTAGGGGACTCTGGTCATGCTCAGAGAGGCACGTCTTCTGACAAATACCTTCGGATGCCAAACCCTTTGATGGGAAGCTGGGCTCTGACACATCTCATGTGGGGGGGCTGGTAAGACTGATTGCCCCTGGTTTGGTGCGGGGGTCTCCTCTCTCGGCAGCTCCCTGCCTCTCTTGGTTTTGATGTTTTCTTAAAATGGTTTGCAAACTGGGGGTGGGGCTGGGATTGTGCAAAGCTGCCCCGCGGGGTCCCAGGGAGCCATTTTGCGCTGCAGAGCTGAGCCCCCGCCTTTCCCTTGAAGGTTCTCAGGCAAGTTAATTCTCCTTGAGTTGCACCAGCGTTGCATTCTGAGAAGTCCGGGTTTTGTGCCTGGCTGCGCCCACCATAATGGCAAATCCGTGGGAGAGCTCGCAGCACGCGCTCAAACTTCCAGCTGTGCCAGCAGCCCAGAGCCGTGAGAGACGTCCCTATGCGCGGCAGCCAGAGGTGGCACAGCCTGGGTTGGACTGCTCTGGTCCTCAGCCCGACTTGCCAGCGTGCGCCGGGCCCCTGCAGCGCCCCCGGGGGCGCCCGCCACTGAGCCGCCTCTTCCCCCCGCAGGTGGTGGCCAACGCGGTGGCAGCCCTGTCCGAGATCAGCGAGTCTCACCCCAACAGCAACCTGCTGGACCTCAACCCGCAGAACATCAACAAGCTGCTCACCGCCCTGAACGAATGTACCGAGTGGGGCCAGATCTTCATCCTGGACTGCCTGTCCAACTACAACCCGAAAGATGACCGGGAGGCCCAAAGGTAGCCCGGCTGGCCCTCTGCTGCAGGCACAACGCTGCTCCCCCGGGGGCTCACCACGAGGTCTGGCAGGCGGACGGGGCCCCTCCTGTGCGGCAGAGCTGCTCGTCGCAGGACCTCTCAGCGGCCGCTGGCGTGCCGGTCTTGTGGGGCAGGCCGAAACGGCTCTGGAAGAGAGCTTTGCTAGCAGGCGCTGGCCGCGAGAGAATGAGATCTCCACCTTCCTTTTTCCCTTCTAAAGCACGTGTGGAGGGCGTTTTTCAGACCAGAGGCCGATCTAGTCTCAGCCAGGCGCGATTTCCCACCTTTCTCGCGCGCCGTTTCCCTTTCCCCCAGCACACGGCAGCCAGCCGCGCACGGGCCTTCTCTGGCACCCCCAGGGGCTTTGAGAAAGTCTGATCCCCGCTCTGGGGGGAGAGGCTGGGGAAGGCAGAACATATGGGAGCACGGGTGGCCCCCTGCAGAGAGAAGTGCGTCCAGGGAGGGCTGCTTCGGGCCACCCGTTCCAGCCGAGACCCCCCCCCCCCCCCCCCGGGGGGGGGGCCCGCCCGGGGGGGGGGCTGGGGCCCCCCCCCCCCCCCGGCCCCCCCCCCCCCCCGCAGTGGTGGTGGCGCTGGCCTGGCGGAGGGCCAGGGCCTGAGCCACCGCCTCTCCTCCCCTGGGCAGCATCTGCGAGCGAGTGACCCCCCGCCTCTCCCACGCCAACTCGGCCGTGGTGCTCTCGGCCGTCAAGGTGCTGATGAAGTTCCTGGAGCTGCTCCCCCGCGACTCGGACTACCACCACATGCTCCTGAAGAAGCTCGCCCCACCGCTGGTCACCCTGCTCTCCGGGGAGCCCGAGGTCCAGTACGTCGCCCTGCGGAACATCAACCTCATCGTCCAGAAGAGGTCAGGCGGCCCGGCGGGGACGGGCGGGGGCTGCAGTGCCTTTGGGCGGAACCGCCGCCCAGCAGGGGGGATCGTGTGACGAGACGGGGCTGGGTGGACCCATAGCTCACCCCACACATGCAGCCTTCTGGAGTAGAGGGCAAGTCCCAGCCTAGTAGCCGGACAGCTAAATGGGGCCCTGGGCCGGCCTCGAATCCTGAGGGTTCCCCAGGGGCCACCACCCGCACGGGGCACAATTCCCTTCAGTTACGTCTGGTTGGTGCTGGAAACCCAGCAGGGTTTGGGTGGGCCGGCCTCCCCTCCCTGAAACGGCAGCCCTTCTCCAGGGAGGAGCGGGTGCTGTGCCAAAGTTGGCGCTTTCCGGATCCTCTGCACATCTGGATTCACGCCTAGCCAGACGCGCTCCAAAGGTTAACTCCCAGATCGCTTCACCTGAGCTTTTCTATTTCCGGCTGATGCCATGCTGGGGGATTCTGGGAGCTGTTGCCCGACTCCCCCCGGGGAGGGCTCAGGTTGGGGTAAACTTTCCCGTGGGTCAGGCGGCAACTGCCAGCACTGGGGCTATGCGCCCACGGCCACCTCAGTGCTGGACTACAGCACCCATCCTTGGGCGGGCCTTCCCGGCCCAACCCATCTGAAGGGCTCCAGCTCAGGTAAGGCAGCCCTGGCAGACGGCTGGACGGTCCCGGGATTTCTGCGGCTGCGGGTTCTTCAGAGGTGCAGCAGGGAGGGTGACGGGTGGGCTCCTCCTGGCTGTAACGGAGGGCGCTGCCGGGGCTGATGGCGCGGTGTGAGCATGCGCTGCCCTCCCCAGGCCGGAGATCCTGAAGCAGGAGATCAAGGTGTTCTTTGTGAAGTACAACGACCCCATTTATGTCAAACTGGAGAAGCTGGACATCATGATCCGCCTGGCCTCACAGGCCAACATCGCTCAGGTTAGCCACGGCCCCCCTCCGTGCGTGTGTTCGGGAGCTGCAAGATGCGCGGCCTGGGAGGCACAGTCCGTATTATACGAACATTTCTTCCCCATTCACCGTGTAATGGGGTGTTTCATGGGTGTCTTCCGGAAATGCCACCTGTATCCTTGAGGGCTAGAATCTTGGAGGAGGAGGAGGAGGAGGAGGAGGAGGAGGAGGAGACTGATTCCCCTTTGTTGGAGCAGAGCATCATCCGTTCATCATTCTGGGGAGGGGATGGCCGGTGTTAGAGCCACCAAATTTAATCTTTTCTTCCTTCCCTTTCTTTTAATTCTGTGTTTCTCCCAGGTTTTGGCTGAGCTGAAGGAATACGCCACAGAAGTCGACGTGGACTTTGTCCGCAAAGCTGTGCGGGCCATCGGCCGCTGCGCCATTAAGGTCGAGGTGCGTGCCAGTGCTGATTTCCGTTGAGGTGACTCTGCCTGGCCTAGGTGACCCTTCCCTGTCTTCATGGCTGTGTTGGCAGGGTCTTCGTTTTGGTGGAAATTCACACCAAACCATTAAGCACAGAGCCCCACCTTTTTCGGCTTTCCCGGTTTGTGATGTTGCATCTCACCTCTGGGGCTGATGGAGCGTCAGTTTAGGACCAGCATGGGGTGCCTGGCAGTTTTCCGAGCAGCGACTTTCATGTGCATCTTTGTTGATAGCCTTCTTGACCCATTTCTCAGCCAAAAAGGCTTTTGGGGTGGCTTACAAGTCATGACACAAAAGGAAAAATGATAGGGCAGGAAGAGAAAAGCAAATACATTACTGGCTGGTTTCCTTGTGCAGGCTGGTTTCCCCCTTACCCAGGCATTTGGCACTGTAAAAGTTAACAGCCTTATGGCCAAGGATGAGGGGAGTTGTTGTTGTTGTTGTTGTTGTTGTTATTATAACATTTCTATGCCGCCCCTTGCCGAAGCCTCGGGGCGGCTTACAACACAATAAAATACATTGAAATACAATAGAACATAATAAATTACCATTAAATACAAAAATAACAAAAAATACACTGAGTTTCAAACATAATAATATAAAATTAAAAATAACAGTATAAAATAAGTAAATAAATAATATAGGAGGAGAAAAGAGAAGGAAGAAGAAGTTGCCCTGGCCAGATCATATATTTTAACAATTAAAATGATGTTTAAATGAAAAGGTCTTTACCTGGCACCGAAAAACCAGTAACGACGGTGCCAGGCAGACCTCTTTGGGGAGTGAATTCCATAGGTTGGGCGCCACCGCAGAGAAAGCCCTCCTCCGAGTACTTACTCTCCTAATTTCTTTCATGGAGGGTTCCCGGAGAAGGGCCTCTCCCGCAGATCTCAAAGGGCGGTCGGGCATATATGGACGTAAGCGCTCGTTCAGGTAGCCAGGACCCAAGCCGTTTAGGGCTTTATAGGTCATAATCAACACCTTGAATTGGGCCTGGGCTTCAATGGGAAGCCAGTGAAGCTGACAGAGGACTGGAGTCATGTGAGCATAACGCCCCGTCCCCGTCAGCAGCCTGGCAGCTCTATTTTGCACCAATTGAAGTGTTCGGACCGTCTTCAGGGGAAGCCCCATGTAAAGTGCGTTACAGAAGTCTAGGCGGGAAGTCACCAGCGCGTGTGTCACCGTCGCCAGGCAGTCGTACTCCAGGTAGGGGCGCAGCTGATTAATCAGCCGAAGCTGAAGGAAGGCGTTCCTCGCCACTGCTGTCACCTGAGCTTCCAAAGAAAGCTCCGGGTCGAGGAGAACTCCTAAGCTGCGGACGTTGTCCCTAAGAGGGAGTGTTGCACCATTCAGGACCAGGTCAAATCCACCCTCTCCGAAACCCGATCCGCCAACCAACAGGACCTCCGTCTTGTCTGGATTGAGTTTCAGTTTATTGGCCCTCATCCATTCCATTACCTCGGCCAGGCACCGGTTCAGCACAGCCACTGCCTCACCTGGATTAGTGGAAAACGAGAGGTGGAGCTGGGTATCATCAGCGTTGCAGTCCAGCAGGTCTGGAGGACTGTTTTGGAAGACAGTCCAGAACCGGAAGGGGCGTTGTACTCTTTGGGGACCCTGCTGTGCTGAATTGACACGGTGGGGCCAGGACAGCAGGCGCACACTGCCTCAGCCGAGAATCTTTCCCGTGTTACGCGGCATCTTCCCCTTTTCTCCCAGGAGGCGTGTGAAGTGCTGCGTGTGTCCTGCTCAGCCAGCCTCCAAGGACCCTTACTCTGGCGAAAAGAGTCGAGGCTGACGAGCGGCTAGGGGAAGCGGGAGCCTTCCAAGTGGCGGGGCTCTCCTGCTGCCCAGCTGGCCCGCTTCACGTCAAGGGCTTGGCGGGCAGCAGAGGTGGTGGGAGCGTGAGGCCCCGTGCTCCAAAACCCGGGACTTGCAGGGGCCTCTCTTGCTCAACGCCTGCAGTAAAAAAGGTTAGCGTGTGTAAGGGGTGAAAGCACGCAGGCAGGCCTCCTCGAGAAGCTCTGCCACTTGGAATCCAGGCAAGTGGTCCCACAGACTTTCCCAGCCCTAGGCAGAGATGCTGGGGATCGAGCCTGGAATGTTTGGCTCACAGAGCACCTGCCCTGCCACTGAGCTCCAGGTATCCCCTGAGACAATCAAGTCAGAGGCCACTCCTCCTGGTTTCGGGTCATGGTCTGGTTTAAAGGAGTCGGAGTCGGACCTGATTCCATCTAGTCTGGTATGGTTGGCACTGCCAGGCCGCCTCGGCGTGCAGCACAAGGGCTCTGTGACTGAGCGGGGCTCCGGTGTGGGACAAACCCAGTCAGAATCCGTTCCTCCTAGCCTTTGCGGGCTTCCCCTTCTGCTTAGCCCGGTCTTGCGAAGCGAGCCGAACTGAGGATCAGTCCACAGATGCCCACGGACTCCTGCCTGTGCAGCCGGCAGCCTTCCTCCCCGTCCGCGGCAGCTGCCAAGAGGTGGCGTGGAAGAGGCCGCTGCCTGCGGGGACGGCTTCCCTGACAAGCCCCTCGCAGCCAGCCGCCTTTGCTCGGTCGCAGCACTCGGACGAGAGCTGCTGCTTACAGACCACGTGGGGCTCACGTGCCAGGTGCGCTGGCCAGGAGCCCAGACTCTGGGCCGCTGGGGAGCCGAGCCCGGGAATCCGATGGGCTCCCCCAAAGGCGGGTTCCTCACACCGCCCTAGTAGCAGATCCGTGGCAGCTGCACAGCAGGGAGTCCGGGATTCCTAGAGTGGGAGCCACACCGGGCACCTCCCCTGTGACTTCTGCCGTGGTGGGGGGGCCATGGGATCGCGCCCAGGGAAGGGAAATGGCGGCGGGGCACTCCCCCAGCAGACGGGCCTGAGCACGGCCTGGAAGTTGCCCACCCCTGGGTTTCCAGAACACCGCCTCCTGTGGCGACGCAGCGTGGGCCCTCTTGGGGTCCTGGCATTCTCTAGCGCTGGCGGAGACGGCCTGGGTGGCTTTGGGCGGGCGCATCGACGTTGCTCCACTGGGCCCAGGGCGGCTTCGGGAGCGGGGTGACCGCCTGCCTCTTCCCTGGCAGCAATCGGCCGAGCGCTGCGTGAGCACCCTCCTGGACCTCATCCAGACCAAGGTCAACTACGTCGTCCAGGAGGCCATCGTGGTCATCCGGGACATCTTCCGCAAGTATCCCAACAAGTAAGTGCTGCTTCGGGGAGCGGGGCGTCCCTGCCGTGTCCGTACGGAAAGCCCTCTCGCTCGCTCCGGGAGTGGGTCAGAGGAGCGGTTCCGCTGGAGAGCTGGGATCTGCGCGCCGGAGCTGCAGTCGTTCTTTCTCCCTCGCTCTGCCGGCAGCAGAGTGCAGTGCTTTTGTTCGGGGGCCCGGTGTGCAGGAAGGAGGCAAGAGGAGGGAGGAGACGCGTGCCTCGACTCCGGTCTGGACCAGAGGAACCTGGCAGAGCCTCCCACTGGACGTGGCCACGATCCGCCGTGTTAAGCTCTGCTTTCAACTCTGCCTCGGTGAATCAGGTACGAGAGCATCATTGCCACGCTGTGCGAGAACCTCGACTCCTTAGACGAGCCGGATGCCCGAGCGGCCATGATTTGGATCGTGGGGGAATACGCCGAAAGGATCGACAACGCAGATGAGCTCCTGGAGAGCTTTCTGGAAGGCTTCCATGACGAAAGCACCCAGGTACCTTCCCTCCTCCAGAGTGTCACTCGGTGCTTTGGAGAAGCAAATGAGGCCGCCCAGGGTTCAGGCAAACCGAGTTCACGTCCCAGTGACAGACCGTTGCTGCATGTGAACCCAGAAGCAGGGATTGTTCGTGGGCTCTCAGCAGGCCCCAGATATGGTGAGCAAAAACAGGCAAGAGAAATGCAGGCGCTCTGCACGCTGGCCTGACAGAGCCACTGAAGTGCCAAGGGGCTGAGGCTAGGGCTAGGGACGCAGGCGAAGGAGGAGTGAAACAAGCAGCTTGGGGTTTCCCAAAACAACCTGCAGTTTGCTGGGTCACATGTCAAACGAACCCTGAATAAGGTTGTCAGAAGGTTTCCTCCCCTGGTCTCTCCAGATGCATCTCAAGGGTGCAAAATGGCAGCAGCTCCTGGGAATGAGATTCGGGGTCAGAAAAAGATCGGGGTGATTCCTGTACAGTGACCTGCAGCCAACTGGGGGTAAACCAGGGGGTGTTGAGCTTCATACTCCAGAAGGCCGAAATGTGGCCCCCAAGAGCTCCTGCGAGCCCCCTCCCTTGTCCCTTGTCCTCCCCCCCCTCCACGCTCCAGGTGCAGCTCACCCTCCTGACTGCCATTGTGAAGCTGTTCCTGAAGAAGCCGTCCGAAACGCAGGAGCTGGTCCAGCAGGTCTTGAGCCTCGCCACCCAGGTAAGGCGCGTGCCTGGCCCTGACTTGAGGAGGCTGCTGGTTGGCTGGGGAAAATGGGAGCTGCAGGCCAGCCACTGCATCGTGTTGGGGAAGGGTGCTTTAGGCGCCCACGAGGGTTAAACTAGCGCGAGTTCCGTGAAATCAACACCTGTCTGGCCACTGGGGACGGAGGAGTGTGGGCCGCCTGACCTGCTTGGCTGCGGTTCCACGAAACGCCTTGCAAACGGGTTGGTAGGCTGTACGAGGCCTCTCTCCGGGGTCTCTCCTGGTGCACGGGGCACGGACGCGTGTCATTTCGGATCTGTGGGGTTGTCTGTTGGACAGTTGGACACCTGAAGGTGGAGAGCGGCCCAGAGGCTTCCCGTGTGGGAGGCGGCATCCGCGGCGTGAGGCCTTCGAACGAGCCGCTGCGTCTGCCCTCTGGCACTGACGCACGCTCTGGTGGCGCCGCCTGCCCTCACCTGCACGCTCCTCCCTGCTCCTCAGCTGCTCCTCTCCCTCCCACCTTCCGTTGTCTCTGCAAGCACTTGGCGCTCCTTGGCAGAGTCTGCCCTCTGCAGCGTGTGAAGGGTGAGGAGGAGGAGGAGGGGGAGGAGGCGAGGCCTGTGGACCCAGCCAGGATCCGGTCCTCATGCTTGCCAGACCCCTTCCTGCACCCAGCCCTGGCCAGGAAGCAGGCCGAGCCAGGGTCAAGTCCGGGGACGCCAGCGAGCCCCTTCTTTGTGCAAAGGGCACACAGCTCTGCGGAGCGCACAACCACAGTGGCTGCCTTGCGGGCTCTCTTGGGCTTGCTTCCTACCAGACATCCAGGCAAATGCTCGGCGGGAGGTAAGCTTCGTAGAATCAGAGAGAAGGAGAGCTGGAAAGGGCCAAGGAGACCATCGGGTCCAGCCCCTGCTGGTGCAGGAATCTCAGTTGAGCCGCCCCTCTCAGAGGGCTGCCCGGTTTCGTCTTGGACGTCTCCAGCGTGGGGGAGCCCCCCACCTCTCCGGGCAGCCGGTCCCACTGCCGTATTGCTCTGACCGTGAGGAAGCTTCTCCTGATGCCCAGCCTGAATCTGCGTTGTCACAACTTGAACTGACTATTCTGTGTCCTGCCCTCTGGCGTCAGCAAGAAGAGATCTTGACCCTCCTCTTTGTGGCAGCCTTTGAGGTCCTTATAGAGGGGTCTCATGTCCCCCCTCAGCCTTCTCTTCTCAAGGCTGAACGGGCCCAGTTCCCTCAGTCTCTCCTCACAGGGCAGTGTTTCCAAACCCCGGGTCATTTTTGCCCCCCTCCGTTGGACCCTTTCTCATTTTCCTGCGTCTCGAAGGACCCTGGCCTGCCTCTTTGTGACAGCCTTTCAACTTAGCGCAAAGAGAAAGCAGGCCAGAGACTGGGAGGCCAAGCTGTGGAAGTGCAACGGATTCCCACCCCCAAACCAGGTTCCTCACGCACCAGTGTGTGGACGTTTTTGCATGGCAGGGCCGTTACCTTATGCGGTAGCCCTCACGACACAGTCCCACGCAAGCTTAGACCGAAGCCCGTCCCAGCCCTCGGGTGCAGGGGGCACACCTGGTTGCCTCTCAGGTCGTGAAGCGCTTTGAGTTGCAGCCACCCACATTGAAAAGGGAGAGCATTTCTGCAGGTGGGTAGGTGGTCCTTGCCCCAAGGAGCTTGGGCATTTCTAGGGTGGGCTCTCCCTGCCCGCTACCTGCTGCGTGCCCTGACCCCCCGACCTTTTATTAGATTAAACAAAGACGCCGCTGGCATTTGGAGCTTGTGCCCGCTTTCTGTCTCACGCGGCATTGCTGGTCACTGAGTCTTATCGGCCTACCTTGTGTGGAATAGGTCCTGGAGCAGAAAACAGGGGCTTTGGGGGGCTTTTGTAGCTCAGCCCCCGCCCTGCCTTGGGTGAATCGCTTCCTTTCCCCTTTGTGTCTCCCTGTGACCTCCAGTAAAATGAGGGTCGTGTGACCAGCCAGATCCACCGAGACCACCATTTTACGGATAAGGAAGCCCCCCGCCCCCCCGCACGCACACACCCAGTCGCCGTTTTGCAAGCTTGCCCACAGCACCCAGGTTGCGGATGGGCTTGTGGAGCCCCAAGGACCACTCCCCCCGCCCCAGAAGCTCTTGCGGGGCTTCAGTCTGGCACAGTTCGCCTTCCCTGCCTGCTCTCACGCAGGCCCTGAGGCTGATCCCCCTGGCGACTGGGCCAGACTGGGGGAGGCTGGGCTGCTCTGGCTGGCAGCGGGCGACGTGGGGCTGATGACATCCAGCGTGGGTCGCTCTCGGCGGCTTGCTGCCGCCGGCCCGTCTTCTCGCCAGCAAGCATGGCCCTTGCGTCGGAAGTGAGCGGAGCCGCAAGGGGCGCTGTGGACGTGCCCAGAGCCCCTGGCTGTGTAGCGGCCAGTCCTCTGCCGCCGGAGCGGAGGGGCTGCAAGGCGCACGGCGGAGGGACGCCACTTGGGCATGGGCCCTGCTCCCGGCGGAGGCCCCTGCGAGCACTTGCCGGGTTCCCCAGGAGGCCGGGCTCATGGCGGCCAGGAAGCAGGACAGAGAGCAGGGAACAAGGGCCCCGGACATCCCGCGGGCCCCCAGCCCGAGGGCTTGCTGGACTCAGTCTGAGGCCGCTTGGGGTGGCAGGCTCCATGGGGGGCGAGGCCTCCTGGAAAAGCCAGATGGGGAGAACCGCGAGGCACTGCTGACGGGAAGTCCTGTGCTTCTGCCTGTGTGTGTGTGTGTGTGTGGCTGGCCTGTAGGATTCTGACAATCCTGACCTGCGTGACCGTGGCTACATCTACTGGCGCCTCCTTTCCACGGACCCCGTCACCGCCAAGGAGGTGGTCCTGTCAGAGAAGCCTCTGATCTCGGAGGAGACGGACCTGATCGAGCCCACGCTCCTGGATGAGCTCATCTGCCACATCGGCTCCTTGGCCTCCGTCTACCACAAGCCCCCCAATGCCTTCGTGGAGGGCAGCCACGGGATCCATCGCAAGCACCTGCCCATCCACCACGGAAGGTACGTCAGTCGGGCGCAGCCCCCTGGCTCCAGCCGTTCTTGCCCTTCCCTCAGCCACGAGGGACTCCTGGAGCAGCTGCCTTCTAATCAGTAAAACACAGCTGCCTTGTCTAAAAAGAGAAATGTCACAAAAGGAAAAAATGATGCGGAGGGCAGAGGAAGAAATGGCCGTGCGGGCTCTTGTCCCTCTGTTCTAGCATGGCGGCAGCAGTCCGGGTCCTCCAGCCAGGCTCAGCCCGTCCGGGCTGCAGCACATTTGGAGGCGGCTGCTTGACACGCCACCGGCCGCGTTCTTGCAAAGCTGCTTGGCAGAGCCCAGCAACGCGGCTGCGTATAAACGGCCCCTGTTAATATCACCGTTTCGTTAAATCTTGCTGAATTTCCGCCTTCTCCTTCTTCATTTTGGTGCATCACTTTAATGAGGTGATTCGGGCTGTGGGAGCTCCATCCTCGGAGTAGACGCCCGCCATGTGCCACCAACCTGGTGTGCTTGTGTGGGAGGCTTTCTGGGGGAAAGATCTGGCAGGAAATCCGCAAACCTAAGAAAAGGGAGCAAAACCTCCCGGTGTATTTTTTAATTAAAAGTCTTTTGCTCATGCTCCTCAGATTTAAAAAAAAAAAACACGCTCTGCCCTGCCGCTTACACCTAATCAGGAAAGCCCAGCAATGGCCACCTGCAGGTGTGTGTGCCAAAATGACCCCCATGCTCGGGCAAAGGGGTGGGGAACGACAAGGGGGGAGCGAGTCCCTCTACAGGGCCGGGGGCAGGCCCTGGCCCTCCCGTGTGTCGCCCACAGCATGGCAGGCCGCCGGACGCGGGCAGGGCAGAGTTCGGCCAAGGTGCTCGCTGGAGAGGGCCGTGTGAGTCGCGCGGCCCTCTCCTCGGGAGGCCGCCGGTTCAGCGCTTTGCCGCTGCCCCTTTTTCGTGCAGCACCGACACCGGAGACAGCCCCGTGGGGACCGCGGCCGCGCAGGGCCTGGAGCAGCCGCAGGTGATCCCGTCCCAGGGGGACCTCCTAGGCGACCTCTTGAACCTCGACCTCGGCCCGCCAATGAACGTGCCCCAGGTCTCCTCCATGCAGATGGGCGCCGTGGATCTCCTGGGAGGGGGCCTGGACAGCCTGGTGAGTGGAGCGCTTCCACGTCAGCGGGAGGGCTGCTGGCGCGAGCTGCTCCGGCCGCGGGGTCCGTGGCCCCGACTCTTTGCTGGCCACGCACAACCAGAATCCAGGCTTCGGGATTCCCTTCCCCGTCCCGGCGCAAGGGGAAGCCAGAGATGGGAGGGCCTGGCACCGGACGTGCTGCCCGCTCTGTTTCGCCCGGAACGCAGCAGGCCGGCCCGGAGATTTCTGCTCCCCCCGCCCTGCTTGTTACTGCACACCCCGGCCAGCTGCAGGCAGGCTGGCGCTTGGCCTGGCAGCAGATCTTTGGCTGCCATCAACATCGGCACGCCCACCTCTCCCCAGCAGCGCGCAACGGTGGCGCGTCTTAGTCTCCGCAAGCAGCAAGCGGTCGTGCGAGGGTGGCGTGTAATGCCTGGGCCACGGTTTGGGGTGGACGGATGTCGCTGGAGCCCTGCAGGAGTGGCCCCCTTCCCTCCCCCCCTGCCCCTCGTTGGTTTGCTTGTTTAAAGTTCGTATATGCTGTCAAACACTAAAAGTCTCTGGACAGCCTTACAAGAAACAAAAAACAAAACAATCACATACAAGAAAAAAACCCAAGACACTGCATCCAACAAATAATGAACAAATCAAAGTTAAAACCAATTGACTGTTAAAATATTGGGGAAATCAAAAGGTCTTTGCCTGACTCCGAAATGGCACCAGGCGACGCTCCCTGGGGAGCGTGTTCCAAGGTTGGGGCGCCACCACCGAAAAGGCCCTTCTTCGGGTAGCCACCCTCTTACTTCCTTCAAGGAGGGCTCCCGGAGCAGGACCTCCGCCTGCGGTCTCGGGCGGGGAGGGGGTCACATAGGGAAGGAGGCGTCCTCCAGGTGTCCTGGACCCAAGCTGTTCAGGGCCTCGTTCGGTGGTTCCCTGCCTCTGCCCCACGTCTGCGTCCCCAAAATGGCCCAGCGGTTAAGAGCTGCTAGCGAAAACATGCTGGAGCTTTGTGCCCCCAGCCCGGCACGTGGCCCAGGAGAGCCGGGAGGTCGGGCCTCCCTGCACTGGACAGAGGAGCGGGTGGGGGGGGTGCTGCCATGCCTGTGTCTCACCCCTTGGAGGTCACTGAACACACGTAACACAGTGCTCCTAGTCCTCATGGCTGTGCAGGCACAACTGAAAAGATACAGCAGCACTATTTGGGTGTCAAAAATGGGAAGTTGTGTGGGAGCTGTTCAGATTTCTGATCTCGATTTTTGGTGTCCCCCTGGGTGGGAAAAGGGAGGAGGTGCTCTGGAGAAGGCTTGGACTTAGCCGGATTCTGCTTAATTACCTTCTTTCCACGGGTCCTCTTAAGGGAATTGGGGGAGGTTATGGCTTGCCCTACACAGAGGCTGGGTCTCCCGAGTCCTGGATGGACCCTGATGGCTATGCCACATGGCCTTATGGGCTTGGCCACATTCAGCTGCTTTCGTGGCCACTTCAGAGCCATGCCGAGAGGCCACGGCTCTGTGGCCAGATGGCCACTGGGCTCACAGTGGTCCTGGGCCCGTCCGCAGGAGCCCTTCCTAGGGGGGCACCAGGAAGTCCTGCCCAAAGTGCCCCTGCCAGCCAGTGTTGGCTGTCACAGATGCGGCATCGACGGACTCAGGCGCTCTCTGGGGTCGGGCAGCAGGATCCCCCATACTCGGGGGCTGCTGTGGCGCCACAGAACCTGGGCGACTGTTTTGTCTGAATCACAGCAGAGCAGGTCAAGCCACCCAGAGGATTGGGGCGGCTGGCTGGAAGGGAGCCCTGCCCCGGAGGTGCCCGGCGTAGACGCAGGTGTGTGGGTTGTTCCCACTGAAGTGCAGTCCCCGTTCCACACCCAGGGCAGGCGGATTCTGTCCCATGAGCGAATTTGGCAGGCCAGACGAATGCATGGATTCGCCTTTTTGGTTTTTAAGCCGTTCTGACCATCCGGGTTGAGGAGGCCAACGTGTTTGCCTGCCTGGCCGGGTTTTGACGTTTAGCCAATCTTCGATCACAAGAATTGCAGGCTTTAAAAGTCACGTACACATGCCCCTTCTCTCTCAGTGCTATCGAGCATCAAAGACGAAGGTTTCTGGGGGGTTTGCTCCTTGGGAGGGATAGATTTTCGCATCACTTTCATTCTCACCCCGAATTCAGCTGCCAAATCCTTCCCCTTGTGGGGGGAAATGTGGATTTTCCTTGCGCTTTTGCTCTCCCTCCGTTGCCAGCCCCTCTGCGTGGAGGTTTGTCTTCCCAAGAAGCACCAGTGGTAAAGCACAACAGAGCTGTTTTTCCGGGATGGCTGAGCGGGGAGAAATTCTTAGCAGAGCCTGGAAGGGAAGGGTGCCCTCGAGGGTGGACTTTTCAGCTCCCACCCCACGTGCCGCTGCAGAGGCCATGCTGTCGCTAAGTATCCCAGCCAGCCCTGGGTCACAGCTTCGTCTAGACCCCCCACAGGTGCTCTGAGGCCCCTCTCCTCCTGCCCATTTGCAGCCTCTCCCTCCTCGTTCTTGCCGGGGTGGAGTGTGGGCACGTGGGCAAGCACGCTGTGGGCCAGCTGGCCACAAAAGGTGGCTCATTGCAGGGCCGAGGCCGAGGCTCAGCGAGGCCCCGCGGGGGGGTCACGAGTCCAGTCGCCGTCCCGTCGCGTGGCCCTTGTCCCGCTGCCCGGAAAGGTCAGCGCACAGTGGAGCGGGAACGGCAGCGGGTGCAAAACCACCCCTGGAAGCGGTTTGGATGGGCCGAAAGCGCCGTGCCTTTTAATTCTGTTGCTTTGGAATGCGGGTGTCCCAGGAGGAAGCTTTACTCAGGGCTGCCAAGCTCCGCTGTCGGTCGGTGCACACGGGGAACCTTCTGCCTCTCCCAGTTGGGCTTCCCACCCCTGCTGGGCTTTATTGGGATTTCGGGCTTGCCGCAATCTGTCCTCACTGGGGCGACTCTCGCCTGGGCCGCTGGTGCAGGGGTGGGCAAGCAAGTGCGGCGCCGCTCGAGAAGCGCGCGCCCCCTGTCCTCTGGCTGCGGGCCTCTCCGCTGAAGCGGGCCCTTGCTTTCCTCACCTCACCTCTCTCAATCGCTCCCCCCCTCCCCTCCCCTCTCCCCTCTCTCTCTTGCAGCTTGGCAGTGACCTTGGCGGGGGAATTGGAGGCAGCCCAGCAGTAAGTGCCTTCCGTTCAGTTTTGCGCTCTCTCAGCATTTTGGAAAGAACAGTAATGTTTCTGGAGTGCTTCTTGCCCGGGCAGCTGAGGTGGTCACCGGTCCCCAGGCAGGGCCGGCTGTCTGGGTCAGTCGGGTGCCAGAGAAGGCGGCCGGTTGGCCTGCCCATCTTGCCTTCCGGGCAGGCCAAGGTGGGCATCCTTTGAAGCGGGGCGCCCTGAAGGCTGTGCGTGGTCTGTTGCTGAGCACTGGGAGGAAACGCATCCTGGTAGGAAGCATGCTGAGGGTCACTCGGGCGCAGCACAAAGTGCCGGAGCCTTGGGGGCGGGGGGCTGGCTCACCCACTGCTCCCCCAGTTCTGAGAGCAGGCATGGTTCAGCAGCTGCTTTCTGAGAACGGGACAGGTCTCCCTGCCCACCTCTTCCCATACCTGGGAATCACGGCTCTGTTTCGCTCAGGTTAGGCTTCGGCTTCGGGCCTCGCAGGACCTGGTCTGGCTCCGTCCGGAGCTTGGCAGCACCCATAGATCCCCCAGCCTGCCCCACCCCCCCAGAGTTGCAAGGCATATAGACGGGAGGCCCTCGATCTCAAACTCACCCTGCGGAGGGGCTGGGGGGTGCCTGTGGTTCCCACGTAGGGGGCCTCTGAAGGCAGTCCCAGCTTGAGGGGAGCAGCCCAATGCACCTTCTCTCCTCGGGGAACAAGCTTGCGCTGTAATTTATCACCTGCTGACTGGAGACCCCCCCCCCCCGCCCCAGGTTCTAGGTAGAGTTCTATATGCAGCCTCTTCTGCAGACAGCCGTGGCTGATCCAGGGACCCCTGGGAGGACACCGGGGGCCGCTCCACGGCACGGCTGTTCCCCATGGGCGTACCCTCGACTCAGCTGGGGCTGTCGGCCCCCCCCCCGCCTCCCCCAAACTGGTGCCCTCCAGGTGGACCAGCTGTGGGAACTGCAGCCCCAGCATGATTGGGCAAGGCTGTGCTTCCATGCCCATGTGGCCAGTGAGGTGGCCGTGTGGGTGCCCCCCACCCCTTCCAGCAAAGACAGCCCCCTGCGAGTTGCCGCTCTCCTCAGCATGGCCCCGCACTCATCCCCCAGGGCTGAATGTTGCCGTGTGCGTCGGGCCCCTTCTGCTCCGGAGGGTCTTGAGAGCCGGCTGGGCTGGGACTTCCACGCCCAGGGGCTGCTCGGCCCCTGGGCGTGGGGCAGGCCGAGCATCCCCAGCTGAGGAGGGTCTGTCCTTGCCGCGCGTTCTGGCCTTGCCCGGCACCCGCTCTCCTCCCGCTTGCACCGTGGTGCTCGGCATAAGCAGAGCTGTCTGAAAAGCCACCTGCAGCTAAGGAGGAATTCAAGTCGAGAGGCTGGGGGCGTCCGATCCCTCTGGAGAGGGTGCAGCTGCTTCTTGCCGTCTTCACCCCCACGGCTCAGAGGTTTTGGGCTGAATAGCCATTGCAAAAGCGCTTTGGTGGGTGGGACAGAAGGGCCAGCACAGTGTTGCGAAGGCGCTCGCTGCTGCCCTGGCAGGGGCTGCTCCGTCTGGCACCGAAGCCCGGACCATGCTTGTCTGGGGGAAGGCGCGTGCCCCTCTCACGAGCCCCACCTGCACCTGCCAAGCTGAAAGGTGCGAGACACCGAAGTGGGCGGCAGAACCCTGCTGCGCCGGCTGAAGGCCCAGCATTCGGACCCAGTCATCTCCCAGTGCGTGGCCCGGCTGGGAAAGCTCCCCCCCCGGAATCTGTGGGGGCCATACTGGGCTGCACTGGCCAGTGCGTCATCCTGATCTGAGACTGTGCCGTGTGCTCCGGCAGTTCTGGTCCCCGGCGTTGGCTTCTTTCAGTGCGTGGCTACCTGGTTTTCCGCTGGGGGAGAATGCCAGGATGAATTTATCCAGGAACGCTGCACTGCGCTCTGAAATGCTCGCACGCAAACATGAAGAGCCCGGAGGATGGTCCGGCCGCCTCACGGGGGACCACGCAGCACCACTGACGGGCCTTGAGTGTGGGGGGAACCCGCAGGGCCCGCTGGCAGGCCGAGGCTGCAGGCTCCCTTGACCATTCAGGAGGCTCCTGCACAGGAGCTCCAGGCTGGGTTTGCAGTGGATCCAACCAGAGGGCCCTTGCTTAGCACGGCCCGTTGAAACGCGTTCCTTCCCCCATGTCTGCTTTCAGGTGGGGCAAACCTTCATCCCGTCATCAGTGCCTGCAACCTTTGCCCCTTCGCCCACGCCAGCCGTGGTCAGCAGTGGGCTGAATGACCTCTTCGAGCTCTCCTCCGGCATAGGCATGGCTCCTGGCGGTTTCGTGGCTCCCAAATCGGTAGGTGCCAGTATTGTGGCCCCCTCACCTCACCTTTTGAATGGGTCGCCTGATGGGTTAGAAACAGAGCAGATCAGAAGGGGTCTCCCGGGCCATCTAGTCTGACCCCTGGCTCCTGCCAGCTCCACTCACAACATGCCCACCATGTGGACATCCAGCCCTCCCCGATGGGGCCTCAACCACCTCCCGAGGAAGCCCATTCCGTGCCCGTAGGTATGTACTTTGGAGCATGAGTGAGGGATGAATCCGGGCATTTTCCATGGATTTCCATCTCTAAGACAAGCCATGGTTCCCTTTGGGCTTTTTAAACATGAAGGAAATTTGCCAAAACCATACAGTTTGGCCAAGTTACAGCATTTGGCAGGTTTTGCAGAAATCGTCACTCAGACAGCACACGGTCCATGGGTGAGCTTCAGGCGTTTCACGCAAATATCCTTCATCTTTTTGTTCGCTTGTTCTGTTTCCCTGTGCAACATGCACATGCCAGCAAACTCGAGGCTGCCCTTGGTGCCACTGGCTTCTCAGCCGCTTATTGGAGCCTTCACGCAGTGCAGAGTGTTTGCTGTAGAGGGTGAGAAGCGGCTGCGCGTTCCTGGCACTTCTCCCTTGCGTTCGCTTCAGACCAGGGCGCAGGCCAGGAGGCGGCGCTGGCCGGATCTGGGGAGGGCAGCTGGGGAAGCTGGCCAGGGCCCGTTTGCTGCGGTGTCCGTGCCTCGGTGGCTGATTTTCCCATTCCCTTGCAGTCAGGGTCCACCGGACACGTCTCGCCTGATTTTCATGTGCTCTGAGGTGCTCCTTTAGCAACCTTAGCAGAAGGCCTGTGGGCGGGGAGTGCCGCAGAGTGGTTCTGACGAGCAGTCCCGAAGCTTGGAGCTCAGGTTCCCCCCTCTGCCTTGGACTCGGGCGAGCCGCTTTTTCCTTTAGCCTCACCCTCTCGTGTTTAGGGACTCGTTGGTGTGTTGTGGCTTTGTCTAGACACCCTCCTGCATGCCGGTCACTTAGGGAGAGCGCCAGTGGCACTTCCAGTTGTGCCTGCTGACCCCAAAGGCTCTGCTCGGCGACGTCACAGCGCCCATCCTCCGTGGGGCCAGCTCTGAGGAAGGTTCAAACGAGCTCGGCTGCTACGGGGCACCCGTGTCCAAGACGTGGCTGGTGCCAAGGGCGTGGGGCGGGGGCCCTTCGCTGCTTTCTCCGTCCTTTCCAAATGGATTGTACTGGCAGCCATTAAGGGCCCACCCCCTGGACAGTCCTGCCCGCATTCCTTGGTCCCTGGGGAGGGCTGTTCTGAGTGGCCCACCTGCACGCAGGTGAGGGCCCAGGAGCAAAAGGGTGCGGGGCCCCTGTCCAGAGGTGGCCTGGCACCCAGGCCGTCCCGCTGCAGCAGGAGTCTGGCTGGAGCGGCGCGCTGAGCTCCCCAGGCCCAGCTCTCCGCGGCTGCAGCTGCCTGACTCGGCCGAGCGCCTGTGGGTTAATGCTGCCTGTGCGACACACAGTGCGTCGCCGGCCGTCGCAGCAGCGAGGCAGGATCGCGCGCCCCGCCGCCTCGTGCCGCTCTGCCTTTGCCCAGGGGAGGCCTCTCGCGAGGGCCGCTCCGGGCGCCTGCTGCCCGCCCGCTGGCGCTGACCGCCGTTTCTCGATGGCCTCGCAGGTCTGGCTGCCGGCCGTGAAGGCCAAAGGCCTGGAGATCTCGGGCACCTTCAGCCACAGGCAGGGCCACATCTACATGGAGATGAACTTCACCAACAAGGCCCTGCAGCACATGAGCGACTTCGCCATCCAGTTCAACAAGAACAGGTGAGGCGTCGGCCGGGCCGTCCTCATCGCGCCGCCGGTCTCCGTGCTCCGGGTCGCCGCTGGACGCCCTCGCGGGAGCCTCTTCCTCCCTCCGTTTCTGCGCATTTCCGTGCCGGTTAAGGGCGGTTGCTTCTGCGCCAGCCGTCCTGAGCTGGTCCCTTCCCTCTTTCCTTACGGAACTGAAGACAGTCCTGGAAGTGCAGTTCCCTTCAGGGAAACTCCGTGGATTGCAGAGCAGTGGGAAATCGCCTTCTGCCAGAATTGCCCCAGCACAGAGTCAAACCCGAGGCAGGAACAGCCCGTCTGCCCCCTTCCAGTAAAGCCTTGGGCTGGCACTACTGGGGGGCTCTTGCCATTTGAGGGTGGGAGGGCAGGAGCAGGAAAGGCAGCCTGACTGGGCAGCTCATTTCTCCCGCCCCCTCCGTCCTGGGCCAAGGACTGGGCCTCATAGGGCCCCCCTTCCCAGGGTCGGGGGGGCGTTGCCACATCATACAAACCCAGCCGCTGGATTATTTGGGGGTTAAATAGCCCATGGGTTCTGATGCACCACCGGTGAGCTGTGGTTGAATGCTGGGCCTGGAGAGGGGGGCTAGGAGGGGGGCTTTGGGTTCATGCTTTGATCAGAAGTGACTGAAGTTTGCAAATTCGTCTGCAAAGCGGAAGAACAAACTCTACTCCAGATGTGGGAGGGAGTGGTGCTGGACTCCCTGTTTCTGTGGGGGATCTGCGTGGCTGTTTCAGAAGTGGGGCTCCCATGTCCTGTTCCCGTTCTGCAAAAAGTTAGGCTTCCTTGCCAAGCCGTCCGCTTCCCTCCCGCTGCAGCTTCGGCGTCATCCCCAGCACCCCGCTGGCCATCCACACTCCTCTGATGCCCAACCAGAGCATTGACGTGTCCCTTCCGCTCAACACCCTGGGGCCAGTCATGAAGATGGAACCTCTCAACAACCTCCAGGTATGATCTCTGCTGCCGGGCGTGTGTGCCAGGCCAGGCCAGGCCAGGCCGGCGTTCTGGAATGGCCCGGGATCACTGGGAGCAGGTGCGGCTCAGTCCGGGAGCCTTTTTGGCACCCGGCGCTTCAAACGAGGATTCCTGGCACAGAGGGGCGTCCCCCGCCGCCTCTTTCTGAACACCTGGGGCTTAACCTTGCGAAGTGGTTTGGCAGGAGGCGGGTTCCACATCACGGATTTCATGGCTGCCGGGTGGCGGCGGCCGCTGGATCGGGGCATCGTAGCGGCTGTGGCCGGTGGGTCCTTGGTCGGCTCTGGCGCCATCGCCCTGCGGTTCTTGCCGAGCAAGCACTCGTCGCAGGTGGTGGAAGGACCGCGGCTCCCAGCAGGGCAGGCCAGTGCAAGCAAAGAGGAAGGGTGTGGGGAGTGGCCGCCGGGGGGCTGGGGGCTTCCCCCCCATAGAGGGCAGGCCCTCCTGCAGCGAGATGGCCCGCCGTGTCTGGCAGGGTGCCCCAAAGAACGCGGCCGGAGGAGGGCAAGTCGCAAAGAGCGTTGCCTGCCCGCTTTTCAGGGCTGTCAGCCCAAGGCGGGGAAACGGATGGCAGCCCAGAGGGGCCTTCCGAGGAGCGGCTCCGCACGGCGGGTGCTCTCTCTCGGCGGCACGAGGGAAGCCCTTCCGCTGGTCCCTGCCCACCTTCCTCCCGCCTTCTCACAGCGCTGACGGCCCTGCGCACTGCAGTGGAGGTGGAGGTACAGGTGTTGCTTCAGCAGTGGCCGGTTGCTTTCCTGCCACATGTTGTGGGCGGCACCCCCCTGCCTTACCGTCCGTGTTGACCAGAGCTGCAGTCCAAAACCTGGGGAGGGGGCCTGTTTGGGGACAGCTGGACAGGTGCAGTGAGGGATTGCCAGCTTGTTCTCAGGAGTATTTCATTTAATTATTTATTAGATTTATATCCTAATTTCCCCCAGTGAACCCAGAAAGGCTTGCATCCTTCTCCTGCTGATCTCAGTTGTTTCCCCACAACAACAGCCCTGTGAGGTAGGCCTGGCTGAGAGCATGTGGCTGACCCAGTGAGCTCCGTGGCTGAGCAGGGACTGGCACCCGGACCCCCTGCGTCCCAGTCCTGTGCTCTGACCCACTGCGCCTCTCTTGCTGCTTGCCGTCCCCCGTGGAAAGCCTTTCGCTCTGGTGGTGCATTCGCAAGGCTTTTTCCGCCCCAGCCGCCATCCCTCGGAGAAGCCGGCTCCGAGGGGACCATGGTGCTTCTCCTTGCAAGGTTCTTCAGGCCCCTCCGTGGCTCAGTCCACATCTGCGTTAGCAGAGCTTGGCTTTTGGCCCACACGCTGCTCATGAGCGTCTTGACGGACTCTTCCGACTCGACTCGTATCGAGTCGTGGGACTGGCTTCCAGGAACTCCGGCCTCTTTCAGCATGAGGCTGTTGCTGCCCGACATCGAGCCCTGGGGGCAGTGGCTGGCAGCAGGGAACCTCTCGGTGGGTGTGGGAAGCGGGGTGGGCAGCCTGGGAGTGCCATGGAGCCCTGGAGTTCTGCCCCCCAGGCAGGAGAAGAGGCACAGGGCATGCGGCCATTGGAGTGGGGAGTGGAGCAGGGAGAGGCAAAGAGGTGCATTCGGGTGCTTGGTGGGGGAGCGTCGACTGGCCGGGGGCTCCTGGCTCCACAAGCCAGTGACGGGGGCGGCAGGGGCCGAATCCATGCAAGCAGCCCCTCTGTTCCGTTTTCCTTTGCACTTTTTCTGCCCACGTCTGCATAGCTGACAGAAGGCTTGAAGGAGGGCACCAGCCCCCGAGATTGGAGGGGTGCACCCCTTTCCCCTTGGGAAGCAGGAAGTTCCTTCTGGGCATTCCAGGCTTCTCCTGGCAGCTGCAGAGAATGGAATCAACGGGACGCGCTGATTAATTCCTGACATGCCTGGAGAGATGTCTCAGGAGACGGAAAGGGCGGGTTCCTCCTTCCTACTCCCTGTTTTCAAACAACGACACGGAAGCTGGTTGCTGACCGAGGCTGTCTCTGACCGAGGCACCTGAGCCTTCAGGCTGTGCTTTGGAGTTCATATCCCACAGAGCCAGGCAGGCGGCCCGAAAGTCTCTTCCGGAGCATCCCACAGGCTGACAAGCCAGCCCTGCACGGGCCGCTGCGATTTGGCAGCTCGGGAAACACCTGCCCATAATTCTTCTTGGGTTGAGGTGGAAGCGCTGGCACTTCTCACACCTGGCGGCATTTCCCAGCATCCCATGCAGGGCCTGGCACAACTCTCCCGGAGCCCTGCTTGCCTTCTTGACCGGGTCTTTGTATTCGCTTTTCATGTTTCGAAAATGTTTTTAATGTTTCGTGTGTTTTTCAGCTAATTTTTAATGCTTGTTCATGTTTTTATTTGTTGCATTTTGTTTGTTTGTTTTTATACCTGTTGTAAATCACCCAGAGAGTTCTGGCTACGGGCAGTATAGAAATCTAATGAATAACGGTGGTGCCGCAGCTGCCCCAGTCCCCAGTCTTGTGCACACTATGGTCATGAGCTCCCATTGGCCCCGGCCAGTGGTGAAGAGTGCTGGGACTCGGGGTACAGCTCATCGGAAGAGCACCAGGTCAGGGATGGCTGGTTCAGTCATGAAGTATCTAAAAACATCAGGTCCCTGGGGTCCGTTCCTCCGCATCACGCTCACAAACTGCTCAGGGGAGGGGTATTTACAGTGGGGGTCTGCCACCTTTCTAACCCCTGGGCACCTTTGGGGAACAGCCGTGGGCACTGCCGCAAAATGGCTTCCGTGGAGGCTGTGGCTAGCCGCCGAAGGGCTGCTCGGGGGTGTGGCAGCTCGGGAGCGGGCGCAGAGGCCGGCCGGAGTCTCGGAGGGAGGCAGGCCAGCTGGCAAAGGGGCGGAGCGCTGGCAAATCCCGCGGGTGGCAGTGAGGAGGTGAGCAGGTGGCAAGGGGTGGAGGTGGGGCCGAGAAACAGTGAGGTACGTCTAACTCCTGGACATACAGGTGTGGCCTATATTTATATTACTGGGATGCTCCTGCATGGACCCAGCTGGACCTCTCCTGGAGAAGGGTCTTCAGTGTGGTGGCTCCGTTTCTGCAGAGCTGCCTGCCTCTGGAGGTCCAGCAGGAGCCAGCATGGAGCTGCTTCTGGTGCCTCTGAGAACGTCGTTACTTCAGGAAGCCTTCCTCGGCGATTGCACTGTCGCCCTGTTTCCACGTGGCGTTCGATCTCTTTATCTCTCTGGAGAAGGGCACCAGTATGGGAAGGCGGAATGCATGCCGTACGTGCATTTTTCTTTTTTAAGGCAGGACATGTTTTGAAAAGCTTGGACGGCGCCCCCAGGCCCTTCTCTGGGGGCACCATCTGGACCAAGGCTGGACACGGCTGTCAGCAGCCCCCTTTGCCACCGTAGCCCCCGACAGGTGGATTGGGGCTACAGGCCATTCTACGGGCTCTTTACGTGTGCTTCCTCAAGTAGTCACCCCAGAACGCCGCTCATTGCACTTCTGCAGCTGAACACCGTGCCAGCCCATTAGGCCAGTCCTTAAGGGAGAGCTTTGGATTCCCTCTCTGGGTGGGTTGTAGAGTTTCCCTGGAGGTTCGTCAGGTGAGCAGTGAAAGGGCTGCAAAGCTCTGAAGATAATTGCAGTTCTCTGGGGTGGCTTAAAAAGTCCGCGGCCCTTTTCTGCTCAGTTTGTTCAAAGAGCTTTCGAAGGGGCAGCCGCCCTAGACTGTTGATGCCAAAGCTGGAAGCATTCCTCATGGAACACAGAAGCAGAGAGAGTCAGAAGGGGTCTCCTGGGCCATCTGGTCTGACCTCCGCTCCAGCCAGCTCTGCTCACGACATGCCCACCATGGGCATGTCATGTGCCGCTCACATGTAGTGGCAGCTGATGGGTCGATTAACTCACGGCTGCTCAAGGTTAAATTTATTTATTTATTTTATTCAAAGCGTTTCTATGCCGCCCCCACCGCAACAAAGCCTCGGGGCAGCTCACAGCAAAATTGGCGTCCAGGTGTAGGTTGACGGGCTTTTCCCACTCGCTGGCTCTCGGCGTGCAGCACAGGGCACTTCTGCTCCCCGGAAGCCGCTCCACAGAACGCCAGAGCGGCTCTTGCGCAGCGCATGATTGTGGGCAACCCGGAGCCCACCCCCTTCTGCTCTCCCCCCTCTTCCCGGGCAGGTGGCCGTGAAGAACAACATCGACGTCTTCTACTTCAGCTGCCTCATCCCTCTCCACGCGCTCTTCGTCGAAGACGGCAAAATGGGTGAGCGGGGCCCCGGCAGCCTCGCCCCGGCCTGCGGCGGGCACGGTCTGGGCCAGACGCTTCGGGCCAAAGGCTGGGTTGGCTGGATGGGCGGGGAAGAGCAGCCAGGCGCCCGCCACGGAGAAGGGGGAACTGCTGGGGAGGCGGGGGCTGCACCGGTGCCGTGTCCAGCGTTGCGCCGGACTTTCAGCCCCTGCTGATTTCTGAGCGCTCCCTTCGCTGATTTTCCTGCAGTTTATATTTGAAAAGTTTCCAGATTATGCTCCAAAGCGGGCTTCCTCCCCCTCTTCCCAAAAGGAGCATGAGAAAGTAGAGGTTTGGGCTTGCGTTGGGGAAGTCTTAATTTGGAGTTGAGCCCTCCCCGCTCTCGGTGGAATCAGTCTTTGGAAGGGCAAGCTGGCCTCAGCACAAAGCACATCTCCAGGCAGAGGTGTGGGGAGGAAGGGGGGGAGGTGGAGCGCAAGCGTCTTTTGCCTTCCCTTCCCCACAAATTGCACCCCCCTTGTTTTTACGCCCGGCCACTTTTCTGCTCCTCGCAAGTAGTCCTCTCAGGCAGAGCTCCAGTGGGTTCTTCCCTGGCCTCCAGAGGCTCCCGGGTCAGGATTTGCATGTGCCCAGACGGAGGGCCCTGGAGCTGGGAAAGCCCCCGCCAGGCAGGGCGTCTCAGTGCCACGCACGGGCTTCCCTGGGAAGCGGCTGCCCGGCCTCTGCCAAAGCGCCTCCGGAGACCAATTGCCCAGTGCTGCCTGGTAGGCACGGCCTCCTGCCCGCCCCCCCCCCGCCCCCCCGTGCGTCCACTGAGCCGAGCCGGCAGGAGCAACGGCCGGGGCGCCTTTGCATGGCCCCAAGCTGAGGAAGGCAGTCAGACGCCTCTTTGGCAGTCCTTCTGCAGGTTCGGCAGGCATCACCTCTTCCCGATCCAACCAGCGAGCGTTTCGTGGATGCAGTTCTGTTGATCCTGCTCTTAACACACGGCTGCACATTTCGGTTTGTTTCTGCTCCAAAATTGCTGTGCCGGAGTGGAACGCTGCATCAGCCTTGCACACGCACCAAGCTCTCTCGACATCCGAAGGCTGCTCTTGTTCCTCCTGTTCAACGTCTCTTCTCAGTCATTTCCAAATAAGATCTAGAAGGATCTGCAGCACTGGTCACATCTAGGTTTCGTGCCCGTATCTATTAGTATGAAGTAGACAACCCTGATTCCTTCCCTCGTGGTGTCGGTTGGTTTCCTTCTCATAACACACAAGAAAGAAAGTAGAAAGAAATAATCATGCAGCTCTTTTCTCTGGGCTGGAGATCCCCGGGGTTTCCCAAAATTCCTCAGCCTGGGGAAGACTCTGCCGAGTCTCTTCCCCACTGAGAGGGCGCAGTCGTCCCTGGAATGCCGGATTCCGAACCTGCCCTGCATTCTGCCCGGCGCAGTGGCCAGGCCCAAAGGCTGGCCCAGGCAGAGGCGTCAGGATGTGGTCCAGAGCTCGAGAGAGGTGACGGCTCACGCTTGCGTTCTCCCGGCCCCGCAGAGCGCCAGGTGTTCCTTGCGACGTGGAAGGACATCCCGAACGAGAACGAGCTCCAGTTTCAAATCAAGGAGTGCCACCTGAACGCTGGTGAGTGCAGCATCGCAACCGCTCCGGGGCCGCCTCGTGACGCCCCCGCCCCAGAGCAGGGCCTGCCTGCCTCCTGTCTCCCCCTCGTGGGCTGCCTGTTTGGAAGAGCTCCTGTCTGGGCATGGCCGTCGCCTCAGTGAGGAAGCAGCCTCGCAGCGCGCTTCGTGGCTGGAGGGGCATTCTGCGCGCTCTGGCGCAGCGTGGGGGCCGCTGGCTTCGTGCCAGGCAGGAGCGCCGGACGGGCCCGGCCCAGGCGGCCTTGCCCCTGGGAGGCCCAGCTGCGTTTCTCAGGTTGCGGGCAGTGCGCCTGCCCCCGAGGCTGGTGGGGGGGTCCTGGAACCCTCTGACCACCCCCTCGCACGGAGCTCATTTGGGCCCGGTGTCGTCTGGTCCGCCCCACCCTGAAAAAGCAGGCCGGTGCGCAGGGTGTACGGTGAGAGAGCAATCACCTGCTTCCGCCCAGCGTCATGCTGGACAGCCGAGAGGAGACTGGCCTGCGTGTGGAGGGCCACTGCGCCGTGCCCCTCTCGTGGGCTCCCCGTGGGTCAGCCACGGCGTGTACAGGGGCTGCGGGAGGGGCATCTCTTCCATCCTCCTCATGCAGCACCAGTGAAATGGCGGGTTTTCCTGCCCCAAGATGTCGCGGGGGATTTAAGAGGGGACCGGACACCTTCTGCTGGGAGAAGGCTGCCCGTCGGATGGGTTGCATTTCAGCTCCGGTGTCCGGATGGTGGGCCCACACACACCAATTGCTGGGGAACATGGGCATGAAGGTGCTGTTACCCTCGAGTCCTTCTTGTGGGGCACCTGTTTGTGCAAAGGGGAGGCTGGTCCGGCGCAGCCCTTTGGGGGCTCTGAAGCTCTCCCCTCGATCGGAACGGGCCGTGTCTGGGCGGAACCGTGCGTTGCGGCTTTCCCCACATAAGTGCCCTCCCACCGCGGCTTCCTGAGGCGGTTCTCAATCTGTATCCTATTCCTCCCCTCACCAACCCACACGGGCTGCGGACGACTTTGGGCAAACCTGGAAAGGGGCCTCGATATGGGCTGGGGGCTGAAACAGCGCTGTGGGGGGGCCGGCCCCCGTGTCGGTCCCCCAGGCCTGCCGTCGTGGAGAGGGCCCCCACCGCAAGACATTTGGCATCCAGGGGCCACTGGCGTGGTCGTCCCTCCGGGGCTACTCTGGGACAGAGGGTTTTTTTAAATTAACAGACTGCCTGAGCTTTAGGCCCAGCTGTGCAGTCGGTTGGCCTCACCGCTCTGCTTCTGGCCCTGCTCCCTGGGGCTCGGCCTCCACATGGTGGGAGGGGGCCCTTGGATGGAGCCTGGTCCACCTGGAGGAGCCCCCCCAGGCGCTCCCCGACACAGGGCCCCCTCAGCACCCCCCGCACCCTTGCCAGCTCCGAAGGGCCCGAGCGGCTTGCTCCAAGGCCTGCTGAAGCACGGGGAGCCGCCTTGCTCTAGCCCTCATTTGCAGCTGCCAGTGGCCTCGTCTCTGCCGGGTTCCTAAAGGACAGCGAGAAGGCGCACTTTTCCGTTCACAGCCCAGAGCTGCAGGTGCTCCGGGTGCCTGTCAAATTGTGAACCGTGAGCTCGTCTTGTGACTTCACACGCCACCTTTCCAGAGCACGTGTGCGGTGAAGGTGCATGTCGGATCGCATGCACGGATGCACTGCATAAATCCAGTGGCAGCCAAAGTAGAGTGGGGGGGGGGCTTGGAGGTGCCCCTGCACAGGCCTGGCCTGCCTAAATTTTGCACATGTGGCGTCTCCCCCCGCCCACAGCAGGGCTTGTTGGTTTGCACACCGCTACAATGCGTTCTGCATCGGGGATCCCTGTGAGACGCCAGCTGCTCAACCCTTAGTCCCCAGAAAATCTCTCCGGCTGCCTTTCCGGAGTTGCAGGGCTTGGTTGGGGATCATGGGACTTGCAGTCCAGCAACACCCGCTCCTGGCGATGGGCTCCTCTGGCTGCCGGCAGCTCGCGAGGGGTGTGCGCAGGCAGCCTCTCCCCGTTCGATTGCTTAGCGCCCTTGCGGGCGGCGACCCCCAGGTCTGAGCCCTCCGGCCTCTGCGCATGGCGGCACACATGCACCCCAGCCCCACAGGTTTGGGGGGGGTGCAGCCGAGCAGCCAGTGCCGAATGCCTCCCCGTCACGTGGCCGAACCGCCCGGCCTTTCTTGTCAGGCCTGTCAGGCAGCCGGGAATGCCTAGCAACTGCGCTTGCTGTGAGGAACGGGCAGCCGCCCCAGCACCCAGGGGCCTGGGAACGGGAATGGGAGAGGACAGCCAGCGTCTCAGCCGGAATGAGAGGGGGGAGCGCCGGGAAGGGCCCTGAGGTGGTGGCTGTGATGCTCAGCCCGTCCCAGCCCGTCCAACGGCTCTGGAGGGCAGCAGGCACGGGGGGGGGGGGGAGGTTGAGGTGTGCATTTGATGCAGTCCTCTGCCCCAAGGAGCTTCCAGTCGGCTTGACTGCCAGCACCACTCGCCCTCCAAAAAGGAAAAATGAAAATCTGGCTTCGAATCCAGTTGCTGCCGGGAGCGGAGCTGCTTTCGGCTTCGGCGGTTGTACGAGACCCCCTCTGCTGCTCCGGCCGGGGTGCCTTCAAGGCGGCCCCCGGTCACACACGCCCCTGCGGCGCTGGGCCGGCTCGAGAGGCTGCCGTGTTCTGACGCGCTTTCCTTTCCTGCCCCCTTCAAGACACCGTCTCCACCAAGCTCCAGAACAACAACGTTTACACCATCGCCAAGCGGAACGTGGAGGGCCAGGACATGCTGTACCAGTCGCTGAAGCTCACCAATGGCATCTGGATCCTGGCCGAGCTGCGCATTCAGCCGGGCAACCCCAACTACACGGTGAGTGGCCCCCGCGTGGTGGACGGAAGGGGCCCCTGCCCCCCCCACAGGTTTGGGTTTCCACCTTTAACTGGAGAGTGGGGCACAGACGACCCTTTGTTCCATGGGGTAAACAGTGAAGTTCCTAGTTCTCATGAGGTTTCCTGCTCCCCCTGCTCAGACCTCCCTGGGACAGTTTGTTTGTTTTAAAGAGCAGTGTCAGCACTCCAAGCAACCTGGAGGCATCTTGCCAGCACCCGTCCGTCCTTTAGCCAGATAAATAGGCAAATGCAGAGAACCGCTCTGCGGGAACCACACGCCTGTTTGTGTTTCCGGGCACGTGGGCCTCTTGGAGCATGAGTTCCTCTTCCCCCGTGTTCTTGAGACGGGTTGGACTGCACCTCCCGCCCCCTGCAGCCTGCATTAGCATGAGCTGATTCTGCACCCGCAGCTCGGACCTTTCCAGACCTGGAGCACCCCAGATGTGTTGGATTGGATGGGTGTTGTAGTCCCCCGCAGCTGGAGGGGACTGGGTGGGGGGAAGGGGCTGCCCGCACGCACAGGCAGCCGTGCCCCTGCACTGGAGCAGACGGGGGCCGCGCCCCTCCCACCATCGCCAAGGAACTGTACTGGCTTTGGGCTTGAATCGGGAGCAAAACCAGAAGGCTCTGAATTCGAATTTGCAGCCCCCGTCAGGATGTGGCTTTGGGGCACCAGCAAGCCCGGCGAGCCGAACCGGCCCTCCCGTTCCCCGGGGGAGCATGCCCCCCCCCCCCCCGGGGCTGTGGCTGCTGCGGGGCTTCTCTGGGTTTTTGGTTCAAACTACGACGTGCTTTGTCGTTCTTACGTGCCTCCCAATGTTAGTGTCTCTGGACGGCTTGCAAAAAAACGACACACCAACAAACAACACACTGCACCCAGCCATTCACGAGAAAGATAGAACCAGTTAAATGTTGAAATGTTGGGGAAATAAAAAGGTTTTCGCCTGACGCCGAAAAGAATGAAGCGGTGGCACCAGGTGACCCTCCCTGGGGTCGGGGCGCCACCGCCGAAAGGCCCCTCTCTGGGTCGCCACCCGCCCCGCTTCCTTCTGCGAGGGCTTCCGCCGCGCTGCCCGAGAGAGGGGCCGGGCCGGGGCGAGGGAGCCTCCGTGGGCAGCCCCTCGCCCTGCCCCCTCCGCCGCCACGGCCGTCTGGTGCGGGTGGCCCCGAATGACGCCCCTCCCGCTTCTCCCCGCAGCTCTCCCTGAAATGCCGGGCCCCGGAGGTGTCGCACTACGTCTTCCAGGTCTACGACGCCATTTTGAAAAACTAGCCGCCGACGCAGCTGCCGCCCCCCGCGCGGGTCCGAGTCGGGGCGGCTGCGCGTGCTCCGCATCCCCTCGCCTGACCCGGGCCGGGAACGTGGCCAGCGGGGGCTCTGCGTGGCGCCCTCGCCCTCGCCCCGCCCCGCCCCGCCAGGGCCAGTCCACGGTAGTGAGTAGTGTCCGCGTGCCGGTAGCCGTAGCGGGAGCACCCCGCCCGAGACGCGCGGCCCCCGCGACCCGTTCGTAGCCGCTCGCCGGCCCCGTCTCCGCACTCCACGCCAGCCGCCCGCTTGTCCCGTGAGCTTCTCCATCTCGTGCCAACGCTTTGCGTTTTCTAAGCCACCGTGAGCCACCCGCTCGTGCCACATCGCGCGCCCCGGGGACCAGCCCCACGCCCCACTCCGTGCTCCCCGTTGCTCACTTCGGGTTCACCTCCTCTTGCGTTCACCTTCTCTCTGGCTGCCAAAGCGGGAGCCTCGGAGAAGGGCCAGTCTTACCGGAAGCAGCGGCTGGGTGTCGATCTGCTCTGCGGTGCCCCCAGCTTGGTGCCGGCTGCAGCGCTGGGGGGTTTGCAGCCCCCGGGCCGGAAATCCCAGCAGCCTGGCTCCTTTCCGCATTCCAGGCCCAGAGCCCACTCTGCCGGCAGCCTGCCCGCCTTTGCCTTCCTGCGCAGGACGCTTCCTAGAGACCGGAGGCGGCTGCGCCTGCTTGCCCGCCGCAGAGCATCGCCCGGCCTCCCCAGCCCGGCGCCGCCCGGTGTGTGGGCTGCCGTGCCCGTCGCCCAGCTGTGGATTGGCCTCCCTGGCTGGGGTTGAGGGGAGCCGAGCATCCAAGCTCCGTGGGGGCGCCAGGGCTTTGACGGGCCCCTGCCCTTCCGCGGGGCCCGGGTGACGTCTCCCCGGGCGAGGCGGCACCGACAGCCCATCACTTCTAAGCGCAGCCGGTGCCTGCGGGGGGGGGGGGGGGGGCCCCCCCCCCCCCCCTCCCCGGGGGGCCCCGGCCGCGGGGGGGGGGGGGGGGCAGTCTCCCGCTGCCTCCTTGCCGGCCGGCCCTCTCATTGCCTTACTGGCTCCCCGTGCCCCTCCCCGCCGTGGGCGCCCCTTCTCCGCTGCCACATCATCCCCACCCTTGCCCTCGAGCAAGGCCAAGTCGCTCCCGAAGGGCGCGAGGAGGAGCCGGGCGAGGCCGAGGCGGCTGGGTCTCCGCTCCCGAGCACGCGGCGGGGGCTCTCCCGCAGGCGGGGTGCGTGAGGTCCTGGGGCCGGTGGGGGAATTCGGAAGGCGTCCCTCCTCTGCTCGGCCCAAGCGGTCAGTCCTGCCCGAGCCGCGGTCCCAGGGCTGGAAGGAAGCCAAGCGCTGGCGGGCCCCCACCCGCCCGAGACGCCCCCTCACCCGCCCCTCGGCCCCCTTCCCCGCTGTGCCTGTGCGGTGTCTCATGTCTGCATGCTGTGATGTGGAGGGTGGAGGGTGGGGCGAAGGGGCGTTTCTGTTCTCACCGCTGCTGCTGTGCCGCGTCGTCATTTGGAGCTATTAGATTGTGGGGCAGGGGGTGGGGGGATTCAGTTTTGCCTTGTGTCACCAATAAATGGTCATTTACACAAATTGGACCCCCTTTCTGCTGCCTTTCTTCAAAAATGGGGTGAACTGACCCATAAGGTGGTGCGTGTGAGCTCCGCAGGGCCCATCCTTTTCTCAGGGTCCTCGGGAACCCCAAGTCAGGAAATCCGTAGCCACACTCCTAAGGTAGCCGGCGGCACGGATTGGGACCTGCAGGTCATGCCCGGTGGCTTCATTTCTGTTCTTCTGCGGCACTCCTTGCCCACCCAAGGGGGGAGCCACCCTGGGTCCCGCAACAAGGAACAACGCATGGTGCGGGCAAAGCCCCTTCCCCAAGGGGAAGGGGGGGCTGGCGACATCCCATGCGGTGCTGCCTTCCTCCGAGCCTGCGCTACACCACGGGGCGCGTGTTCCCCCCAGCGGCTCGGGTCACGCTCTTCCAGCCCCATGTCTGGAAGAGAGACCGTCATGGCCCGGCTGCCTCTCTGCCCGTGGCCTTCTTGCACCCTGCGGTCAGCCAGGGTATGCCGCTTCACTGGGGCAGTGGGGTCGGGTTCTCAGCGTGGGCCTTCCACACTCACTTCCAGAATTGACGGTACAGTCTAATTTGGACAAATCCCGTGTCCTGTCAACCGAGGGCCATAATCCTTTCTGGGAGCTGGCAGGGGCCGCATTCAAGGGGTGGGTGGGGCCAGAATGCCAAAATAATCCCAGTTGACTGTAATCATCATCATCATTTCATTTCAGAGCCAAAACTCTCTGGGCAGTGTACAGCAAAGTTTTAAAACAATAAAGGACAATAATCAACATTAACAAGAATTTAAAATAATTAAGATGTTATAAGATAGAATAAAAATGCAGTAAAAAGAGGACTGGCTTGACCCGGCACCAGAAAGATGGCAAATTTGACACCAGCGGGGCCGCAGCAGGGAGGCTGTTCAGGAGATGGGGGGCACCCCAGAAAAGCCCCTCTCCGAGCTTCTTGAGGGGTTGGCACTTCGAGGAAGGGCCCAGGGGTCCAGTTTCGTGTCCAGGTGGGTTGGGGTTGCGAGAGGCTTTGTGGTCCTACGTGCGTGAGGCTTTCTGGGTTAAGACCAGCGCCTGCCCCTGGGCCGGAAATTATGCAGGCAGCCGGTGCGGGTGGGCCAGAGCCGGTCTTACAAGATGGGACCTCTGGGCCCCAGTTCTTAGTTTGGCTGCTTTGCTACTAGCCACTCAGCCTTTGGGAAAGCATTTTGACCATTTGGTTTGGGGGAAAGTCTGTGCACGAAAGCCTGGAATGATCGATCACAAATGGGGGGGGGGGAGGCCACCTGGGCAGGGGCTGGTGGGGGCCACAGGCCCCTTTTTGGGCCACCATCCTTTCTCTTTGCTTGCCAGGTCCCTTTCTCCTTCATCCTGGCCGGTGCGGCAAGATGCCAGGAAAAAGACGCTCGCCAGAGTCTGAGCCAATTGCTCACCGAGGCCAAGAATTTATCTCCCATGGCTTAAAACCCAGACATGAACCAGAGATGCTTCCTTAATGTGATTAGTGCAGCAAGAATGCTTTTATGCCAGATACTGGGACTTGAAACACCACAGCGGAGTAGGAAAATAAAATACCCGATTAATGCTGTCCTAGTTAAATTATCGCATTATATAAGGTCCAAAGACAACTGATAATGATGCGTCCAATTTATTAAACACCCACGATTTATAAATGTAGACCATGACTATGACGTGATGTGCCGAATGTCCCAGCCTGGCGTTCAGAGCTGTTTTGGACCACTGATCCCATAAGCCCCGGCAAGCATGATAGAAGTTGTAGTCCAAAATATCTAGAGGAAACCAGCTTGGAGAAGACTGGTGTATGTAGTCCCAAATTTTTAAATACTTTTTCCTAAGGAGTGGTACATCCGCACCAACAAGCAGAGCTCAGATTTGTAACGATTGCAGCTTCCCTAATTGCGGCTTGGGAAAAATACGTGGGTGCGAGGCGGGAGAGGGCCTTGAGCTGAAGCAGGCCTTCCAGGCACTGTCCCAGGGGTCGCTTTGCATTTGATACAAGTTTCTACAAGGGGCTGCTGGGACTGGGGGCCAACATGGCCACGCTCTGTGGCCGCATGGACTAAGCGCTTCGTCTGGAAACGGCTGCTCCCCTGTTGAGCATCCAAACTTTTGCTCGAGCGTGTGAGCATGTGGCACGGAAGAATCGATCTGCGGGAATCCACAGGGGAAGATCTCCTGTCTCATTGCCGTGGCTTGTCGCCTCGGGAGGCGAGACCGGCGCTTGAGTTTCCACGATCCCACCACCAAGCCCGAAGACAGCGCTGGCCAAAGGGAGACGGTCCTTCTGTACTCCTCCTCCACTTTGCGCTCTGCCTGCCCCGAAAGCTGGGCTGCCGGAGCCAGCGTTCAGGCGTGTGTCCAGGCAAGATGGAAGATGCGTTGGGCACAGCACCTGCCCGGATGCAGCCTTCCCCACCTGGGGCCCTTCTGATGTGCCAGAATGCGCCAAGCCACTGCATATTTACCGTGTAATTCAGGGCTGAGCGTCCCAGTCAATCTTATCTCTTTCGCAGAGTGCCCTGTAGGGTGGAGGTTACTGACTTGGAGACAGAAGGCTCTGAGGGCACCATGGAGGTGCTGTTCTGTTTTTTCAGCCTCAAGGCTCGGCTTGACTCCGCTTTTTTGGCTTTCAAATGCTTCAGGCGCCGATCTGAAGGGTCTTGTTCTATCTTATTGCTCTCTCCCTTTTTGGGTAAGGCATAAGGCCTTCCTGGTCACCTTGTTTCCTGCAGAGGACAGCTACGCATGGCTGGAAAGCCTGCTAGTGTTCAGAGGTGCCTCCCAAATGGCCAAAATGCAGAAGTTTGGATCGCATAAGGCTTTGAGCAGAACCATGCTGAATAGGTGCAGCCTCTCCAACATGTGAGACGGCCTGGCCTGTGGCATCGGCTACTTGTCTGCTTCCAACCCCAATTTAGGGTGCTTGAAAAGCCTCACATAGGTTTTTCTTTTAAATAAGTTTTATTCAAAATTTATAGTCCTACAAACAAAAAAACTAAAAACAACATCAATCATCAAAGACATCGGGCCTGCTAGGTCAGCCCCCACATTTTTTCCCCACTTATGATAACTTAGAAGTATATTTAAATCTATGCGAAGTCATAGAAACATAGAAAACAGAGCGAGTCAAAAGGGGCCTCCTGGGCCATCTAGTCTGACCTCTGGCACCAGCCGGCTCCGCTCATGACATGCCCACCATGTGCACGTTGGTCGAATGAGTCAAATGAGAAAGTCCTATTTCTCTAGCCAGTGAAAAGTCTCACACAGTTGATGGAGCACCGTTCCCAAGCACAGTCTGCCCAGACTCACAACAAACCCCTCTGCGCTTCCTCCGAGGCATGTGTGGCAGCCGAAGGCCTCTTTAGTGGTGGCTCCTGCAGCCGCCAAATGCGTTCCCCACGGAGGATTGCCTGGCCAGCCACTGTCAGCGTCCTAGTCTATGCCGAGATGTTGACTGCCGCCCAAGGAGCGGGGTGCATCCCCAGAGTTTTCATACCATGGAGGTTTTAAGCTGCTCTTACATTGTTTTCTAATGTACTCTTACATTGTTTTCTTGTACTGTGGAAAAGTTAAAAGTTTGATTGTATTGGTGGTTTTATGAATGGCCGTGAACTCTCCAGGGAGCATTGTCTTTGTGGTGGTGCAGCAACGAAATCAGGCCATCCGCTCTGGTCCTTCCCGCACTTCCGATAGTGAAGCAGCTCTCCAGGAACAGCCCCTAAGTTTGGATACAAAAGGCCTTGTTTCCGAGCTACCTTTATCAACTTGTAGCCACTCGGTAAAGGTAACGCCTCGCTGCCAGCTGAGGATGATGGGAGCGGTAGCCTGCTCTACCCTGTGTTGATAGCCCTGCACAGGGCATTCCTAGATCTGACAGGAAAGCACCAGAGGGGTCCTCATCGGCCCCACGATCCTGCGGCATCGCTTGGTGGGACATAGCTCATTACAAGAATATTTCCAGCCCCCGCTTTCAAGCCAAACAAGGCAGGACATGGCTCTTAATAATACAGTCAAACCCAGCACAATGGCTAAGTGTTTAATATCAGAATTAATAAAGAGAATTAAAGGTGCAGATGAAGCCAGAGGAGATGGAAAGTTAAACCTGGAGGCCAGACAAAATAAAAGCATTCTTTGCCTCCCTTCTGTCCCTTGAACTACAAATCCCACCCTCCCCTTCCCTGCTGGGAATTGTCAACCAAGACATCTGCAGGCCGCCAGATTGGAAAGGGCTGCTGTACAAACCCTTGGGAAGGAGAGGCAGTGTAGTATAGTGGCTGGAGCATTGGGCTGGACTTGGGAGATGTAAGTTTGAGTCCTCTTCAGCCATGCAGCTCATTGAATGACTCTGGAAT